TTAAATTGATAAAAAATAATATTTTTTATCGAAATGGTGTTAGGGATTGTTTATTAAGGTGTAACTAACATGTATAAACGAAAAAGTTGATTTTTAGTACATTAGGTTCTTATGGAACCGAGGTCACACCAGCTACAATCAAAATGGCCTATCTCAGCTATAAAGGAGTGGGCTAACCTAGGCGACGTGTTTTCTAGTTCGTAATGATGTAATAAACATATTTTGAAAGAATAAAGAAAATCGTGCCAAAGGGATAGGCCAGCAATAGAAATTTATGGTAATTTATTGTTCTATTGAGGCAGATTTTAAATAATGCATTAAATTGATAAATAATAATATTTTTTATCGAAATGGTGTTAGGTATTGTTTATTAAGGTGTAACTAACATGTATAAACGAAAAAAGTTGAGTTTTAGTAAATTAGGTTCTTATGGAACCGAGGTCACACCAGCTACAATCAAAATGGCCTATCTCAACTATAAAGGAGTGGGCTAACATAAGCGACGTGTTTTCTAGTTCGTAATGATGTAATAAACATATTTTGAAAGAATAAAGAAAATCGTGCCAAAGGGATAGGCCAGCAATAGAAATTTATGGTAATTTATTGTTCTATTGAGGCAGATTTTAAATAATGCATTAAATTGATAAATAATAATATTTTTTATCGAAATGGTGTTAGGTATTGTTTATTAAGGTGTAACTAACATGTATAAACGAAAAAAGTTGAGTTTTAGTAAATTAGGTTCTTATGGAACCGAGGTCACACCAGCTACAATCAAAATGGCCTATCTCAACTATAAAGGAGTGGGCTAACATAAGCGACGTGTTTTCTAGTTCGTAATGATGTAATAAACATATTTTGAAAGAATAAAGAAAATCGTGCCAAAGGGATAGGCCAGCAATAGAAATTTATGGTAATTTATTATTCTATTATGAGGTCCATTCCAGGCTGCATAGCTACACTACAAAAAAGTGGGCTAACCTATACTACGTCATTTTATGTTCATAACAATTTGTTTAACACATATCAAAAGAAAAACGAGAAAAAAATTTAAGAGGAGATGCCAGCAATAGGTTTTTACGATAATTAGTTAGTAATTTTAGGTAGTTTATTAGTTTGTATTAATATCAAGGTGATTTCTACATTAATAAGCTTAAAAGTGCCCAGTATTGTTCAATACCAGATAAATAATGTAAATAGACATTTAGAACATACATTTTTGTAATAGCATCGGCGTGCAACCGAGGTCACACGAAGTGCATTCCAGGATACATAGCTACACTATTAAAGAGTGGGCTAACCTAGAAGAGGTAATTTTTTGTTCATAACCATGTATTTAACGCGTATCAAAAGAAAAACTGAAGAAAAATTTAAGGGGAATTGCCAGCAATAGGTTTTTATGGTAGTCAAATAGTAATTTTAGGTAATTTTTCATTTGGATTCAAATCGATGCGGTAACTACTTAATTAGCTAAAAAGTGCTTAGTGTTGTGCAATATGCTCTACATAATGTAAATAGACATATAAAACATGAATTTTAGTAATAGCGTCGTCGTGCAATCAAGGTCACATGAAGTGCATTCCAGGCTACATAGCTACACTAGTAAAGAGTGGGCTAACCTTGAATACGTCATTTTTTGTTCATAACCATGTGTTTAACATGTATCAAAAGAAAAACGAGAGAAAAACTTAAGGGGAGATGCCAGCAATAGGTTTTTATGGTAGTCAGTTAATAATTTTATTATTTGGAAAACATTGAGGGTGGTTACTACTTTAAATAACCTCAAACGTCTTTAATATTGTCCTTTATTCTCTAAATAATGAAATAGTAATTTAATTTCATTCAGCGTATTGTACAGTTTTATACATACATATTAGTCAACCTTCATAATCAACGCTGTGCGTGTACCGCCAAACACCATCTTTGCCGTGTTTCGCCAAAAAAAGTTCCCGCCACTTGATATTTTGGAGGTTATGTCAGCTGCTTTGTGACGAATCCTGCTGTGACGCCATCATTGTTGTGACGTTTTACTGTGACGTATATTCGTCGGAGGGGCGGTAGGAGAAGTGGAATGGGTTATTGCTGTTCTATTGCCAGTTTCACGCTGATAATTGTTCAAGTACACAGTAGACTCTTGATAAATCGAAATTGGTGGGCCAAACATATAAATTTGAATTATCAAGAGTTTTGAATTATCAAGAGTTCGATTTATCGGGAGAAAAACAAACCATTCGAATTACAGAGAGTTCATTTGTTTAATACATACAAAGGTACAGCACGTTACAATAAAACATCATACCGTATTTTAGTACACTTTTAAACAATCAACGGCTTATTTTTCAGTTACTGTAGTTGCAAAGAAATCTGTTACTTAGCGCTATATATTTCGTCAATAGCTGAACTATCCGCTGTCGACAACTACTTTTGTGCTCAAGGAGATGTCGCGCAATCTAGAGATCAGATTGCCAACTTAGAAAAACAAGTCAGTGAACTAACTCAGACTACTGCTCTAACTAAACAAACATCAAAACGTCCAACACTAGCCTACCATGGGAACAGGATGTACTGTACTGTATAGTTTCCTGTTATAACAGGAAGAGATCACTTCGAATTATAGAGTGTTTTGCCGACTTAACTTCGAATTACTGCGTGACTTTGATTTATGGAGTGTTTTTTGTGACGAAACTTCGAATTACAGCATGACTTCGAATTATAGAGTGTTAACCGACGAAACTTCGAATTACTGAGTTACTTCGAATTATAGAGTGTTTTCCGACAAAATTTCGAATTACTGCGTGTTACAAATTGACCTGCCCTCTATTTGGACTTTGAAATACCGAGTGTATCAAAATGCATGGTAAAAATTTGAAATATTGAGAGATTCTCTAGGGACTGAGCCTTCATTTTGAATTATCGAAAGTTTTGAATTATCAAGTGTTTGAATTACCAAGAGTGGACTGTAAAAATATTGCTGTTTGTTGTTTTGATGTTTGTATTGGTTTGGTTTGAGAATTCAATTCAAACTTGCTGAGTGACATAAATTTGTGTTATTAGTTTATCCAGCAAAAAAAAAATAAAGCAAAGGTACTTGATTAAGTTATACGGTTAAGAACTTATTTACTATAGGTGCCTCCAAACAAATTTTTATATCTTTATATTTTTTATCTCCTGAATCCAAATATAGCCTACCATTATTTTCCCAGCAAATGAATCATATTACTAAAGATATAGCTGTAAAAATGTACAATGTTTGATAGTACAAGGTAAGACAAATGACATTTACAAGGTGGAATCAGAATCCCTAACAAGTGAATCCTAATAGGAAATTTGCTAAAATGGGGCTATGTTCTAACATAAACTAACTAAACCAAACTTAGAACGTCAGCATCAGCAAAGCCTTTGATGTCAGGGTGGTCCATCATTGCAAGCATTTTTTTTTAATAGTAGGCTTCTATTTTGAATTGTTTTTCTTGGGTTTTAATCATACTAAAACAGTCTTTAGGTAACATAAACCACAATCTCGATTCATTTTAACCTAAACTTTACCTCTAGGCTAACTTCAAAACACTTAGCCTATGTAGGCCTAACTTGATACTTATTTAAGTTAGGCCTACTTACAGCCCCGAATTAGCATGCCTAAATAAGAACTAAGTTTAAGTTACATCATTGACTAGTTAAAGGTTACATGTAATTGGTTCATTTCTCTTCTAAATGTCATCTGTGCTACCGTACCTTGTTTAACTCATTCAAAAGTTGTACCTATATTTAAACCGCTAGTAGTCGGGGGACCGAGCCTTGCTGTCTTGTGTCTTAATAAGACATTTTATAATTGACAAAAAACTATTACAAACCATGGACATTTAATCAGTGAAATGTTGAGATCATGGTTTTGGTTTGTAAACTTGACTTAAAACAAAAATAATATAAATACAGATACTTGCACAGAAATTTTCTCCTCTCTAACTTAGTAATTAAAACCTGTGGTTGGACTTTTACGCTCACCAATGACAGCAGGTAAAAATATGGTACAGTAACTTATAGGTAAACAAAATCATATTATTTTCAAAATGGCTTGTGACAACTATTTTTTACATTTCCAATACTATTTCTAAATCAAAAACGTTGTGTCTGTTTTTTCATTGGGATTTAGCATACGGTACTTATATGGTGAGAGTTTTATGCCACCAATAGTTTACTTTGGAATGCCTCAGTACTTCGGGGATTAAGTTTTGGTGGGATACGGCTTCAAGTAAAATAATCAATATTTGATCGACAATTTTCCCCTTTATCCGAGTAATCTTCAGTGTAATCTTGCTCAATAGTTGCAACTGATGATTTTTCCTTTGTAGGTATCTACTGTATTTTGTTTGCTAGTGTACTGTGGGTCGCTTGTTATGAACACATATGTGACAATTCTTTTGTTTACTTTTTTCTTGTTATTTTGTTCGACCAACATAGTTACTTGGAAACCCATAAGGCCAATGTAAAATTTTTACTTTTTCAAATGAGTTAAGTAGAGAAATACAAATTTTCCTGAGGTATAGCTGATCACCAATCACGTTTTTAGGACTTAAGTTAAAGTCCCTAATTCCAAAATTTAGTCAAAATCCTTCCGCTGCATTTTCAGATATATATTACTGACAAACAGACATAGGTAGCTCATATTAGAGAATAGGATATCTTGAATTCGGGAGGCAAAAAACTATAAAATAAGGTATCAAAATTAAAAATAAAATTAAGACTAATTTAGGAATAGGCTAAGATCAAGCAAGGTTAGGCTACAGGTTCTCAGGTCTCGGGTACATTATATTTATAATTATTTATAGACTAACATTTTGTATATCCATATTGTCTCAAAAAGTTAAACACTTACCATGGTAAAGTGTAACAACTAGAGAAAAAAAGCTTCTTGTCTGAGGCCAGCAGCATCAAAAAGGCCAGCTAATTTTTGGCTTTCACCATTCAATTAATCATCTGTTATGTATTTTCTTTTTTTCCAGACAAATACTTGATACAAAATATGGTCTCAAGAGATGGCAGATAGGTGAAATTGCTTCAAAAATAGGCCAACTCTACTACCATTACTAGTAAGTAACATTGACTAATTAATACCAGTTGTCTTTTGGGTACAGTTCCGCAGAGAACCTGTGATATACTATCGGATTGAATTGATACCTTTTGAATGAATACCACTCGGAAAGTTGATACTTTTTGTCCGCAGAACAACCAGGCCACACACTCCATGTTACGACCAAATCCTTGAACTTGATGTAGGCTAGTCAATGAATATATCAAATACTTTGTGACACTGAAAAACCCCCATTAAACTGCAAGATAATGCTGGCTAGTGGATCATCCTTAACAAACCATATATACTGTAGTCACAGTTGCAAATTTCAAATTTTGTAATCCTAGACATGCTATTACTGTATACTAGCATGCCCCTTTCAATGCTCAGTTAATAGGCCATCAGCTGAGAATCTCTCAAGAGAAAATCTCTTTATCAGACTTATGACCACTCTTGTGTAAGATGGTAAGCAGATGCTCATTGCTCATCTCACCTTTGTCCGTGTTACCATGATTGAATCATGTGGTTCATTAACTTATCTCTCATCAGAAGAACTTTCATCCTGAAACATTTTTAAACAACAACTTAACTGTGTTAAATTGTATCAGAGATTTTAACATAGATTTTAAGCGTCTTACATTACCGTCTTAGTGTTCTAAGGTTACGTACATATGGCAATGATATAGTTCATCGGTTCTCAAACTATAGGTTGCGACCAACTCGTGGGCGGTACGAGTTATTTGGGTGGGAATAGATTAAACACTCATCTCCTTCAAAATGTTTTATCCACCAAAATAAACAGCAAGTGTAACATATTTCAAGACGTAACTTATGTTTTATTTTAACTTCTAACCTCGTAATTACCAAACAGTTTTAAAATAAAGTTATATACAGATTCTCTACATTTCAATTCAGTAATAGGAATAGCATAATATAGAGCTGGTAGGATTTACAACATGTGTTAGAAAAAAATGTTCTAGGCCAACCTTGATGTTTATACAAAACAAATACAGAAAAATGCTTTGTTTGGAAAATTACCTGCGCATAATATTGTCAACTTTCAATTTAGATATAATAAAGCGTGTCTTGAGCTTCAGCTTCACATATTTATTTAATTTTAGTTTTCTGAAGTGAAAGTGTTTTTTGCACTAAATATTGTCTCTTCATTGTAAAGGTGTGTATGTCTCATTAGATTATTGCCTTCATTATAATAATATTTTACCTTTATGACAAAAATTGGATACCGGTAACCACTGTTTTAGCATTACTAGGTGCCAAACAATCATCTAGAGTATTGCAGGTATTGTACCTGAGAATACAGATAGTGGGCAGGAAGTCCATCACTTTAATGATTTTTTTCATTGAAACTTTATAATGAAATGATATCCATGAGTTATACCATGACTAATCCTTTGTTCTGTTTTTTTCTTTTCAGTTTAAGAACAAGTGAAACAAACTATCTGAATGAAGCTTATTCATTCTATGCAGCAATCCGGGGGCGGGCATACTACTCAAGAGCTTCAAAAGAAGATAGGTATGACAAGAGAAAACAAAGGTGAAACTATAAACTTACAGTTGATTTATGTCATCGCATATAATATCATCATTCTGATTAAAAATAGGGCCTATTCAAAGTTAATCATTACTGTAGGCCTACGTCTGTTCTCTTTTAGTTTCATTCTAGGCAAAAAGTAAACAATCATAATCCTAATATTTCCTGAACATAGTGACAGAAAAAAATTTTATAAAAATGAAAGGTAATTGTATTTTTTATTTTCAGTCTACTTAATTGAATAGCTTTAAAAGATTGGTTATTTCAAATTGGTTTAGGTTAAAAACTATTTTCAGATCAAACTGCAAAATGTGTTTTAACACGTTCGCTACCGAGCGTCATGCGACGCTGCGGTCATTGCTATGGACCGAGGTATACAATTTAATCTTACACATAGACCGGCTGTCACTTGGTTAACAGTACATGCAGGCCACAGGCAAAAACCTGTAAAACAGCCGCAATCGTCTTTGTAAATAATATAGCCTAATCTTGTTTTTTTTTTTTATTTTTGATAACCTTTTGTAATGTCCCATACTTGCAACACCCAGTCTATAGCAAAGACAATAGTTAAAATTATTATTTTTTCTTGAAATAGCCCAAACGCTGCATATATGCTACAGTTCATTTTTTAATGTTTTTAGGTTAAAGTAAGTAAAAAGAAACATATTTTTAAGAACAGTTTATACAGTGGAGTCCCGATAATCCGAACTTCGGTAATCCGAAAGTCCGCTTAATCCGAAACCAAAAAATAAATTTTAAAATTTTTTTTGAATTTTTTAAAATTTTTTTGAAAATTTTTTGATTTTTTTTTAACTTTTGAAATTTTTTTGAAAACTTTTGAAATTTGTTTTAAAACTTTTGAAATTTTTTTGAAAACTTTTGAAATTTTTTAGGATTTTTTTTAAAATTTTTGTTTATTAAACTTTTAACACAGTTAGCTGTACCTCGTCAAAGTATTCTGTAGCGGCCGGGAAAGATAGACTTTTTTGTTGAGTATTTTAGTAAATATTTCACAATTTTTGTTAACATTTTTTATTTTCGTCCAAGGTTCCAATCCCCCCAAATCACAAATGGATTTTATGAAGTGATAATGCTTCAGCCACTAGGTCTAAGTAATCTAAAAAACAATCCCAAAAAATTTCAAAAAATAAAAAAAAATTTCAAAAATTTCAAAAAAGTAAAAAAAATTTCAAAAATTTTAAAAAAGTAAAAAAAAACAAAAAAAAACGTTTAATCCGAAATATTCAGTAATCCGAAATGGGCCCGGTCCCAACCATTTCGGACTAACGGGACTCTACTGTAATTGAACAAATATAAAAGCTACATAGGATTATGCAGCATACATACAGCATACATACATGCTGCATACAGTGATGCAGCAAAGTAAAAAACAGTTTTTCCAACTATCATAGGACGTCACCAATCATCATCAGACCAAGTGACACAGTAGTGTGACAGACACCCCTGTAGACCACTGCAGAGAATTCAAGGGTTTCAAATAGACCGTTAAAAAGATATAAGCATTTTGATAACATTGGAACACCGAAGCAAATATGCGACGTCAGTCTATTTTAATGTGACTAGCCGTCACATCACGGCAGTCTATGGGTAGAAACCGGCCGTCGCATGTGTGTCGCTCGTCCTTATGAATGAAAACTTTTGTACTAATGCGGTACCCTAGGGTAACGAACGTGTTAAAAACTTTGACTAAATAAGATATTTTTGTGTATCTATCTTTGATAACAAATAACTCTTTAAAACATAATTTAGTAATAGAATTATAAATTTTAGATTTGCTTAAAACAATTTTAAATGGAATTGGAAATTCCGTAATTGTATATATTCTGGAACCTATCCTAGCATACCAACTTATAAGATATGCTAGGTATCCAATAGTTTTCAATTTCAATTCTAAATTTCTCTCATATAAATCAATTAGTAACCTGTACTTCAAATGAAACATGTTTTTGTTTTATTAGGATTCTGCTTAAAAGAGTTCTGTTTGTACTAGGGTACGGTGGCCTATAATATTTTAGTTAAGAGAGGTATAAATATATTATTTAATACACATGATTCTGGGACATTGATCAAGTTTGTGAACATAACAATGTGTTCACACAGATAGGTTTCGAGGACTTAGGATTCCAAGAGAAAATAAAAGGTTAAAAATTCCGGTAGCCATGTCAAGTAATCCTTACAAGACCACCGCTTAATTTTAAACCTAGCCGTAAGTACCTGAAAGTTCAATTTCTAGCTGAACATGACGTTATTTATAAAGCATGATGATTAATCATGACTTTATATCTGCCACTAACACCAGGTGTCTGCTATCATTATCAGGGTGTCCACATTCTGGAAAGTCAGGGATAGTCATGGAAAGTCATGGAAAAAAAATTTGGACATTGAAAGTCAGGGAAATAGGCAAGAAGTCATGGAAAGTCATGGAAATTTCCAATTATGGATGGATTTGAGGGGACCATTCAATGTTCTAGTCAGCCGTAACCCGGACTGTTGTAGCATTTTTCAGGATTTTTCACAAATGTTTGACAATTCAATTTATTACAGTTGTATTATTTTATGAGTTTTCTGTTTGTTTTAGTTCATTGTTGTACCTATTGTACTCCATTGTTATCTGTTATTACACATTTCAGTATTTTCTGCAAAATAACATGTCCAGGCAGTATTATTTGTGTGTGTATGTTATATTATAAATTTGCGTGTAAAGTTTGTGAGTCATGGAAGTCAATGGTAAATGGTCATGGATAGTCATGGAAAGTCATGGAAATTAATGACAAATTTTTTGTGGACACCCTGATTATATTCATTTGGCAACATTTTAGTTCAATGTGCTCAAAGACTTTTTGTATATGTGTTTATTACAACTCTTCATATCCCTAGGGATGAATAAAGGTTTTTGAATAATTTGGTATTCACTTAAAAATTAACTAAAGGTTACCAACCAGCGGTTGCCTAACAGATAAAACCAGGATTACTTGCTAGTAAATAAGATATTTTTAGCTTTTGATCTATATGTAGGCCTAATCAATTTCCACCACTCTTAATGCTAACCAATTCACAAACAAAATTACGTACACTGATTTCCCCAATAAGTTAGCTCCCAGTGACCGTGTTTTGCTAATTTAGAAACAGCTTTTACCTTTGAAGACACATAGATGAAGGTACAGTAATATAATTCTCTGTCAACACAAAAAAAGTCATTGAAGTATGGTTTTAATAAGTCTAAATGTTGAAAAGGGGGGTATTTATTGCAGTGAAAATATAATAGAATGTCATGCCATGATAAAACCAAGAGAATACAAAAAAATTCAATATCCATTCCTTGGTAGGCTACTTCATTCTTCAGAAACATCAGTAGGAGAATTTACTAGTGAGAGAATTGTACAGCTGATGAAATGTACTACTCGTCCCTGTTCTCCGACACATTACCCTTAGTTTTCACTTGCAAAATGATCTGTGTGTTGAATCATCTTTCCGAGTTAACTTTTAGGTAACCTAATTATACCATCATAATGACAGAGTTAATTTTTTCAATGGTATCCATACTACTTGTATATAGTAAAATACAGCATGCACAATGTGATATCCATAAATGTGTTGAGTTCATAACAGACAAATCATAGACTCTACGTATTGAGAATTTTCTCTACTTGTAAACTGTTGTAAGCAGTTTTTTTTTTAAATTTACAGTTGACTTTTGTGAGTTTGATTTAATTTAAGACTTGGAGATATATTTTATTGTCTACTGTGATAAAAAAATATCTGAAACAGTTTCTGAAATATCGGTATGATCAATTAATCAGACATTGCTATGAGCTGGAACACTTGATGTACCTAGCTCAGTTTAACCATGTGTAGATCAATGTTTACACATGAAGATTGAAACTAGGAGTTCACTATTTAATGCTACTTCTGTGCAAGAGTGTCCCACAAAAAAGTTGCCCAAAAGTAAAACATAATTACTGACTTACTCCTGTGGTAATTGGAAAGACATTTGTTTTCCCAACATATTGCCTCCAACTCATTTATTCTTCTGCTACTTCCCCAGCTATACCAAGCGTTCTCAGATTGTCAAACCAACACATTCTGGGTGTGGTGTAATGTGGATTTAAAGTGGAACTCCTTGTAATTTTCCTTTCCACATACTATGATTCTTGTGTTTTTACTTGTATACACATGAATCAATCTACTTTCTTTTGGGTAGTTCAAATATGAATTGTTTGTGAGGGCCTACCTCTTAGTAATTAAGTGTTAGTTCTGAATAGAATCTTACTTTTGGACGATTTGAGTGTGTCTTTAATTGACTTAGGTATTCTCTATTATTCAGTATTTCATATCATAACTAAAGTCTGGGCCAAGGTTGTAGTTCCGTGAAATGATGGAAAAAGCATAAAATACGAACCATAAGATTTCTATTACATAGTGTTGGAAGCTACTTCAGAATCAAATATAGTATGTCCTTGGCATAGTTAGATAGATAAGATATTAATTCTAAGGGGGAAATAAGTATGTAAGTATCTCTGAATATTCCAGCAGTATTCAGTAAACTCTCATTAATATAGACTAATATGATCACCAAGTTGTCGAGAAAAAACTAAATGTTTGATATCCTACGCTGAGGCTGTAGGCCTACAGTTATCCCTTACTAAATGATTTGATGGAACTAGCATAAATTGAATATGAATTCTTCAAATTATCAACTACTAGAATTATTTTATGTTAGTACAACTACACAGATGCAATATAATGATGAATGAGGGACGACTGTCCGAAACAGTGAGGACGCTACTTTGCCGTCATAACGTGGGGCATATTGGTATCAGAGACCAAACATTTCTAACCCACCAATCAAATGCAGCCATAGAGTTATAAATCCAAAAACTCCTTGGTGTGATGAACAGGGAATCAGACCTTCAGCACCGTTCCATCACTGTGCGCCTTTAAATAGTTTCCTTCTCAACAAAACTGCATAGCTCACTAAACATCACTGTGGGCCTTTAAATAGTTTCCTACTTAACAAAACTGCGTACCTAACTCACTAAACATCACTGTGGGCCTTTAAATAGTTTCCTACTTAACAAAACTGCGTACCTAACTCACTAAACATCACTGTGGGCCTTTAAATAGTTTTCTACTCGACAAAACTGTGTAGTTCATTAAAATTAAGTACCGGTAACTGTCCAGATCAGGCAGAGCTGCATTGAGGGGGTTCAGATTTATGGGGGTTGTGCTATTTTGTGGAACTACTAATTGTTTGTTGTAGGTCTGACTTGATGGTCAAGAAGCTGCGATATTACGCTAGGTTTATTGTCGTCTGTTTGTTGCTCAAGAAGATGAAATTAGTGAGAGATCTTGTTATGGTAAGAGTCTACATCTAATTTGTTAGTATATACTGTATGATACGTATGGCCTTAGATAAATTATTGTGAAGTAGAAATTCTATTCCTATGATAAGCCTGGTTTACACGGGTCGTTTATGTCAGGCGAGTTGTTCGGCCCAGTTGTTGATTTGTTCAAATTGCCCAGTACTTGACTAGACTGTCCACACGCATCCCTATTTCTGTCTAGGGACAGTGTAGGCACAGAGAAGTAATTTTTATTACTTCTCTGTGGTGTAGAGTATTTCTCCCTAGACAGATACCATAGCTTTCATGTTAAATGTTGTTTGAGTTTTAAATGACACGCCAAGAGTCTAATGCTGAATTTAGAACTTAAATCACTGAATTAGATTAGGCTATTAAAATAACTGAATCACCACTTAAATTCAGGGGTTTGCTAGCTTTTTGGCAAATAACTTTCAAATGGAGAAGAAATCGACCAAAGTGGAAGGTTATATTCTGAAAGAGGATAAAGAGTGCTACAAATTACTAATATGCATTTCTTGAAAATACTCAACAAATTTAGCCAAAATTTTCCCCCAAATAAAAAATTTTAAAACCCCCAGTTTTAAATGTAATTCTTATTGAAAACATGTATTTTTAATTTCACCATGAATTCTAAAAAAAAAAAAAAAACTTTCATGACTATTTGCAAATGTACAGGGAGAGTGAGCTTTCTTTTTTTACAATCCATTAGTTGATAAAATCGGTCCAGTAGAACTGTAGATTTAGTTGTACAAACATTTTCAAAACTGAATTTTGAACTGAGTAGATTGACCCACAGCATAAATCATCAATCTTTATTGGTCGTCAAATGATACAAGGCAAAACAATGCAACGCAGAGCAGGAACATAGATTAAGCATACGTATGCTTAATCTATGGCAGGACCGAGCAACTGTTCAACTGAACCATTGAGTACTGAACTAACCTCAAAACTCTACAGAAAACAGATGTTTCGCGGGGAAATCGTGATGGTGGGGCTACAGGGCTGTAGGGTGTCTACACACCCTGTTATAGTTCCCACCTGATAATGAAAAGGTAGCTGGTTTAATCCTTCGCATAAAAGTCAGTAGCTTTTAGTTGTTTGATTGGGGGTTTAATAAATGAGAAAACCTTACACACAATAACTAGCTAAAGAAATAGCTAATGTTACTCACTCTGAAAGCCTCATGTCACATCACACTCGACTCTACACTCATCTTTCTTTCATATTTTGGTTGAAATACCTAGCTGTCTTTCTATCTAGAAAGTGATCATTATTATGAATACATGATTATTTCCAAAACCTGTAACAAATTTAATAATAACAACATTGATTTGTAGGAAATGTACGTTACCTTTATTATATTTTATCTGGTTTGGTGTAGGAATTAGACAAACAAATTGTAGACTACACGAGTACTTACGAGCCGGATGATCAGCTGGAGTGGTCGCTAGTTCTGGAGGAAATCAAGAGCTTCATCAAGGCGGATGGGATCGTACAAGTCCTCCACGCGGACTCTAACACCATTGTCTTGTCTCACAGGTACTCTGAAGTCTCATTGCTCAGTTATAACTACAGTATAACTCCAATTATCAGGATCAATTGGCACCGAACTCCATTTGAATAATCTAAATTCCAGATAGTTAACTTGTTTAAGAAAACAAATATATGTCAGTGGCACTAAGCAGATGATTGGCATTACACGTTGATTGATACAACACTACATTAGACTACATGATGGACACTATAGCATACATTTAAACATTTTGTAAGGGATTGCCGCCAACTGTGATGAACTTAATTTTTCTAGCCAAATTCCTTTTCTCCTTTTGATGATCCGGATAGTTGGAGGACTGTATAGGATATAACTGTAGTTTACATCCTCTATTCTCGTAAGCCAAGTTTACCAGAAGCCAGTTGGCTCTCAGGTTACCAGTCTCAAGTAACTTGATCTGTATTAACCTGCCTTAGACCTCAAAAAGGATTGTGATGGTGATGGTATTGTTAGAATTGTTTATTGAGTGGATCCACCCAAAATCCTTAAACACCTGTATTGAACTGTGAATTTTGTGGCTAAACCATGAAGATAATTATATTGAATTTTAGCCTCCTGATCACAATTAAATACTAAATAATGGTGTAAATACCTGCATTTATGCGATCAATTTGTTGCTAAATTGCAACCGGTTTCGACTCACAAAGGAGTCATTGTCGGGCCAGTACAGATGTCTTCTATGTTTCTGCGAAGTATGGTTCGTTCCTCAGCACTAAATTTAAAAATATAATGAACAGCAATAAAATCACAGTTTCGTTCAAAACTGATAATAAACTTGGTTCTTTATTAAAAAATCGTCCCCAGACACCTACTGCAACCTTTGAGAAAACAGGAGTTTACCAAATCAATTGTAATGACTGCCCAAAATATTATATAGGCCAAACATCCCGTTCTTTCAACAAAAGGTTTAAAGAACATCTACCGAAAAGAACTACAGCGGCACAGACCTCGACCTTCGCAGAACATCTGATTTCTCACAACCACAATTACACTAATATTGATAATAACATGAAAATCCTACACCTCTCAAATGGCCGATTTAATACAAACACCTTGGAAGAATTTGAAATTTATAGGGCCGTCAAATTTGACAGCGAAAACATCATCAATGATAAGATTTCATTTCAATCAAATTACATTTACGACACTGCAATCAAGATACTAGCGCAAGGGACAGTTGTGAATGAAGTTATCAGCTGATCGGGAAATCCAGGCACGACGTCATCACTGACCACGCTGACCCTGACTGGCAGTCTAGACATAACCCCCGCCCGATCACGTCGTGTCCCGTTACCGTATTGTATTATTCTTTGTTTTTAGCCCTAAATGTTTGTTTTTATGTTCGTGTACGTGTGCGTGTTAAATGTATTTATTTATTATGAATTGACGACCTTCAAATGAAGCAAGAAGACATCTGTACTGGCCCGGCGATGACTCCTTTGTGAGTCGAAACTGGTTGCAATTTAGCAACAAATTGATCACATAAATGCAGGTATTTACACCATTATTTAGCATGAAGATAAGGAAGGGATGGTTCAGATTCTTAATTCCTCAAATCCTTCAATACCGGTGAGTATCAAAGAGTGATCATTTCTCGTTATTCTGGATTCAATCATCCACAATGATAATATCCTGTGATTTTGTTAACATCATAATAATCCCAACTAAGCTATAAACTTGTAGAGTAATTCTTCATGATTATTGTCTAATATAATGGGTAGATTTTTGTAGTATTTTACTATTGCATGTTCTATTACATTTGTTTTTTTTCTCAAAAACTATTCAGTGTACATGATGTTACACATTGATTGATTTGTTTCTAGGTTAAGTCCATTAACAACTCCACCTGTAGAACGAACAACTATGATGAACTTGACTCTACAAGAAATATTAATCATTGGAAACTGCAATGATCAGGTAATTTGATATCTACTTGCTCTCTTTGCCTAGAAAGTATTTTTTCCTAATACTTATTCGTTTGTAATTTGATATTTATAATATTTAACTATAATTTTGATTTTGATATAATCAATGAATTTATCTGTTTAAAATCTATATCTCTTCTTCTTCTGTAGCCTTCATTTGATGTTTATCACCTCATCTTTTTGTTTAGATTCTGTACTACTCTTGTCTTGTCTCACTGCCTAAGATGTTCTTTGGGTGGTTTTTAAGTGAGGATTCAAAAAACGTCAGCAATTTTGTATAAGATTAAAGAATAAAGATGGATGTCTAGCCACCAACTGATCAATTACTGATTTTTATTGATTTGATTATGTTTCTTGTTTTACGGAGACAAACTGAAATATCTAGTCACAGTTTAGCCTGGGTTAAAATAAAAATGATAACAATTTAATATAGCCAAGTCAGCCAACGACAAAGTACACTAATATCAATTGCCAATTTCTGTCCTTTGGCCAACTTTTGTAACTAGGCCAAACTGAAAATACAATTTTTCATAAACCATTGCATCTTTTATGTTTTATGTCACATCCAACTATCAAAGTATTGAAAGCATAAATTAGTTGTGACAGTAGCTTTTTCTTTGAGTGGCTCATTCAACTATGTTGTAGATATATTTTTTTAATGGTTAGAGCTGGTCAATAAATGGGTTGTGTACTACTATCAAAAATCAATGGCTATGGTAATTAATTTACCATAGTGCCTTAGGGAGAAGTGAGAAAGGTTCTATTGACGCTTGTGTTTGACAGGTCAAGTTCAGTGAGCTCACCATGGACATGTTTAGAATGCTACAAACCCTGGAGAGAGAGCCTCAGGACGAGTTCAACCACATCTATGATGCGTCGCCTGCCCCGGGAAGAGTGCCTTTTGTAAGAATAAACAATCTTTATCAATCACAAGATACAAATAAAGTGTATTGAATATCCTCAATAAGCCTGCAACTCCACTTGCAGTAGATTGTCGCGCTGCAACAAATTGTAGCACACTAAACGCAACAGTTGGTGGCTCTACTAGCAGCAGAATACAAACTACAATCTGCAGCGTCCTCAAATGCAACGTGGCTCCACTAGCAGTTTAGTTTAGCGCCGAGGGGGTAACAGAATTATACCCCCGGAAATAACCCCAATAAAAAAATGCCTACGTAATTTTGACGTCACGAGGGGCGGGGCTTATACACGGTCGAGAAACAACCCGCGACTGGAAATTTATCCCCAAAATATTATTAAATAATCAACATGTATTTGTTTGCTTATAAAGTAATTTGCCATACCACAGAATTTTACCCCCGGAAATTTATCCCCAGAAATTTACCCCCAGAAATCTATCCCTGTGGTCAAATGAGACAAGTCCGACACCGGAATTTCCCCCCCCGTGGTCGGCTACTCTACGTATTGGTCAAGATTAATTGTTTTACTTGATATTCTGTAATTGGTTTATGTAAATCAACTGCTCTTCGGTTAATCATTATTACCTTCTAGTATCCAGTATTAGGTTAGGTTACCAATTAATAAAATCAACTACAACAATGAATCTTGGCTGATACGAAGCGTAGCTGACCACGGGGGGTTGATTTCAGGGGTAGAATTCCGAGGTTGGACATTTCTGATTTGACCACTGGGGGTGGATTTCCGGGGGTAGTTTTCCGTTAGTAAAATTCGGGTGTCAAGTTTATTTAGATTTTTATTAATTACAGCCGTTAAGTAAACCGTGAAATGTGAGTTGATTGAAATAAATAATAATTTATCCATCCTAAAAGTTCGTGGCCAGATATCTACCCCCAGACCTCTGACATCAAAATGACGTAGACTTTTTTCATGGCGGTAAATTACCAGTGGTAGAATTCCGGCGACCCACCCCGAGGTAAACGTGGCCCTCGATCATGCCGCAGATTAACATTTATACCGTAGTGTAGTTTATCAGTGTACTTTTAGCAAGACAACTCCAATCACAATAGAGAAAATGGTGGATTGTGAATATAGCCTGTCTAGTAATGATAAGAAAGTCAATAGCTCAAATTACTCTAAAGTAACCCTCAAAGTTGGTGGTATAAAACTGGACCCATCTTGTCCTTAATCTTTTGGGCTTACAAAATTAGTCCTGGCGGTAAATCAGGTGATCTTGGGCAGCTGATGGCCTATCAAGCGTTGGATAATTGATTGCTAATCATTGTACAACTGTGCCGTGAGCGTCACAGTTTTATACATATGTGCCCGACTCTTCCATTATTCCACAGACACACCCCACCAGTTCAATCGTTTCAAATTGGTAGCAATCGCTACACAACGTTATTGTTGATAAAAGTAGCTCGTTGTTGTTTCTCATACTCTTAAAAATATTTGACTTTTTCCTTACTTTGTCTTCATAGTGATAATTATAATTTTCCAACCAATTTTTGTTTTCAGGAAAAAAGCTATTCAGTGACTAGTACGAAAGGAGGGGTCGGCTATCCTGTAGTGACGGGGTGTCAGGAGAACGGAGACCGTCCTCTCAAGAGGGAGAATCCTCACAAGTACTTGCTCTACAAGCCTACCTTCAGTCAGGTCATGGTGTTCTTGGCCTCAGGTTAGTCTACATGTACTATCCCATATATACCAGCTAGGAACTATGTAAAATTATAATATTTGTCCATACTACTGCAAAAACAGAAGTCTTCAATCCATGGGTTGCTTGACTAAAGCAGTTCTTTTTATCCCAGTTTAAAAAATAAACAGCTGGCTCCAAGGACATCAGCTGTACATTTTCTGAGATTAAAGATTGTTCGCAGACAATGTGTATGAAAATAGCCCTAATAATAAAAATACTAGAGGACCCTTGCTGCTACGCAGCGTTAAAATAAATATCATATCCGAGAAATAATCAAATTTATGATTTTTGATTGAATAATACAGTATCTTGAACTTAACTGATTCAAACGATCAGTAGTTCAAATGAAAGCCTATAATTTACTAATTAGGCCTATTTTTGAGTCCAAAACATATAAAAAAGATAAAGAATACTGAAGCTATAGGATTTAAATCATAGAAAACCTTTAAAAAAATAGTTTTTATGTTGGTTGTTCACCTTGCGTTTGCTTGACACTCGTCCAATTTGTATAACTAATAGCTTAAATTAAAGCCAGTATTTCAATGAAGGTTCTTAGACCAAAATATATAGGATTATACTATTATAACTTTGTGAAATATATCTTAAATTGAAGTAAGAATTTGAAAATAAATCAAATTTATGTTTTTGATCAAGTAACACAGTAGATAAATAAATACCGATACTTGATGTGAAATCTGTGCGTGCATAATTTTAATTTGAGAACTAAATCATGAAAATCGGTGAGGTAGAAGAGGCTAACGAACTCGGAAAAGAAAAAACCAAATTGAACTCCCATAAGAAATACGTGGGGAGCAAATTTTGTTTACGTATAAGCCGAGTGGAACTGTTGATAAATACATGCTGATGCTTGATGTGAAATCTGTTTGTGCATACCTTCTTCTTCAATTTGAGATCTCAATCATGAAAATCAGTGACGTAGAAGAGCCAAACAAACTCGGAAAAGAATATTAGAAAAACCAAATTTGACTTCTGTAAGAAATACATGGGGAGCAAATTTTGTTTATGTATAAGCAGAGTGGGACTGTAGATAAATATTTAATTTCATTTCATATAACTTTATTCATTAAAGTATAATACATAGATACAGAAATGGCGTCAAGAGTAATTTAACAAATCTAACTTAACTAAAATACTCAAAATTATCAAGCATGGCGTAACAACATACCATCAATATGAACAGTCTTTCAGCTCAAATAAAGTAAAACAAGCAGTGCGATATAAAAGTTTAAACATGAAAATATCAAAATTAAAATAATAGATAAAATTATTTTAAAACCAAAAGTTTCAACGAACTTATGACGAATATATGACAATGCTTGATCTGAAATCTGTACGTGCATGCATACCTTCAATTTGAGACCTCAATCATGAAAATCAGTCCCCAGGGTAGAAAAGCCAAACGAACTCGGAAATGATAAACCAAATTTTTTAAATACATAAATTGTTGTATTGTTATAACACTTTTTTGCGTTTAAGATTGTGTTACATTGTTCATTTGTTTTTTTTCAACTAACACTCCATTATCAACATTAGACGCATCAAAAACAAAAAATATTAAATATTTCAATTGTTTACATTTTGAATTTATTATTTTATTTATTATAATAGCAAAACCTGATGGAAACCATTTCGGGAGCTAATTTCTAAAGGTAAACAATAAATGAAAAAAAAACTAGCCTATTATTTTCTGGTTCAATTAGCTTAAAGAAGTGCGTAGTATGACAAAAAATATAATTCATCTCATAATCCGAAATACTCACAACATTCCCATCCCCAAACACTCCATTTCATTCTTCCAACATCATTTCCAGTACAACGCTACACAGCTGTACAACAGCCTCCCTCTGGCGTTGAAGACCGAGCAGGATCACCAGACTTTTAAGAGGGTGGTGAAGAGATTGCTCTTAAATAAAGTATTTTACAGTGTCCGGGATTTTTTGGATTTTTTGGCTGGTAGTCACAACTTGTACTACCAATTACAACTTTTGTAACTTAGTCTTACAGATTTGTACTTAGTCTTACAAATTTTAAATACCTAAGAAGTTGTGTATTTTAGTTTTACTCCAGTTCATTTTTAGTTTATTTTGACATAGCTAACACTAATTGTAATTGGTTGATTTGGCTAAATAAATGAAATGAAATGAAATGGGCAAAAGAGAACAGAGAAGATTCACTGAAGGACCCAAGTGATGAAAAAACTATTGTACTCCTAACATTCCTAATATATGTTTCTACTCGGGGAGCGAGCTGGTCTTGTGGTATAGCTTGTGGGACTTTGGTCCTGGGTTCAAATACCGCCAATCATTAATGGATTTTATTTAAGTGATAATGCTGCGACCCCCTCTAGACCTAAACAATTCCGAGCCAGAACATAGAGGAATTTAAATATACATATAGGCCTACTGTACCTGTTTCCACCAGTGTAGGATATCCTATCTTGCCTGCCTTCTCATCAATGGAATAAAAGTTGAAAGAAATTGAAAATGTTTTTTTTTACTTAACAGCAATGTCTTTTATGTCTTTTTATTAATTAAACATTTTATTTTATTCTGGACTCATGTTTCAGGGTTCAAAGAGCTGCCTGCCAATGGAGCACTGTTGCTGTACATCTCTGCAGACGGCTGCTTCTCGTCCAACAAACATGCGGAGGACAGTGAGTAGGACAGACTCTAATACCTCTTGGGATTCTCTTAAATCGGATGACATTATGATAAAATTTAGATAATTTGTTCCTTTTTTGGGTGTGTAGCTAGCACAGTGATAAGTGTAACGGAATTTTATACGAGAAGCTCTATCTCCACAAAATTCGTAAGGTTTGGACCACTTTCCTTTAAATGTGTTTGAGATTCTTCTATAAAAATTACATTGACAAAGTAGTAAGGACATATTTAGTTCTTGGTGAGGGCATACTATTCATTTATAGTATATGATTTTAAATTAATGTCTTGAATCACAATTTCACTTGTCTAGAAAAAAAACTAATTTAACCATTTTTCGAATTTTTTTTAGAATCAGTAACCTATTACACTAGATCACTCTTACCAAAGCCATCAGGTACAGGATCATTTAATTGTCACTATTGTCAGATAAACGTAAAACAGGGGCCAGAGAAATAAAATACTTTACTCTGTTAAATAGATTTTTTATACTTATTAAAACGTACCTGAAAACTAGTTTATGTTTATGATGTTTAAAATTAAATGAAATATGGAAATACTAGTAATCATGCTGAGACATCTCGAGTGGAAGCACAATGAACAGTAAGAAGTGGTCAGACACTCTGTGGAGTTGGTTATACCGAGGTTGGATAAAGGAGGTCCTCCCAGTAGACTTTCAGATTACACTGTTTCCTGAACCTGTCTTGCTCATATACTGACTCAAGCGACATACGTACAGATGTAATTTTACTTGTCTGTTACAGTGGGCTACGACCTGGGTGGAGTAATCACTAGCAGTAAAAGGGAGAGTGACCATGCGAACAAGAAAGGGATGCATCTCAAGGAAATGCATTGGTCAGTAAATTGATTGAAATACTAGGTTACCTCTGTATAGACAGAATGGATTGCATTTTTGTGGTAACAAATTATTATCTTTGCCCTTTAATAAAAACATATTATATATCAATTTTGAATTTTGTTCATTATTCCTCAGCAGGGATGGTGAAAATGAGGATTTTTAAATTAGACATGAATAACTAACCAGTACACTTAAACACACTTTTACTTTATACACAATTTCAATGTCTCAAAAGTGCTTGAAAATCATATTGAGAAAATAAAAATGCAATTGCAATTTGCAATCACTCCTAAAATTTCTCCGTAGTAAAATGACAAACAAATTCAATTTTAGTTGAAAAAAAAAAAATTGGAAGAGTGGTAGTGCTGGAGCTCTTGCAAATTGTGTCTCAGACCTCAATCCAGATGATGATGAGGTTCCCACACCTCTTAACAAAACACTAGAACATCAACACTGAAGCATGTTTCTTTTACAGTCTGTATCCAGGAGATCTGTACCCGTTCACAAGAAAGCCATTTTTCATAATCGTAGACTCGGACAATAGCTTTGTATTCCAAAACATCCCCAGATACTTTGGACAGCCGATGGTTGTGCTCATGTCGCCTCAAGATGTTCCGCCAAACTATCAAGGTGATTTCATGTGTATGAGTTTTGCTTCATGCACATTTTGTTGTCAGCTGGAATGATTATGTTGATTCATCAGTCTTCTATGATTTTGTTTGCTCTTAACTCCTAATTAAAGATGCTTTAAGCATTGAAGACTATTCACAATACTTTTGTTAACATTTCACAATAAGATTGCTAACAACTAGACGTCTTACAGTGGGATTTATTTACTTTTCAAATGAAGTTATTGTAATATTAACCTGATTTGTTGTCTAACTTGTAGCCTACTAGTTAAATTTTATGTGAAAATGAAAATGTGGTTTAATTTTTTTTTATTTGATTTTAAATGTTTTATACAATGTAGTTCTATGGATCCAATTTAAGTTGAGATAGATAAGGTTGTTCAAGATGTAATCGATTTTAAAATATAATCTTTTGAATACAGATTTTATGATAAGGTTTTACAGCTCAAAGACCCTCTACAACCCCCATCTCTAGGCCCATCTCTAGGTGGATGGGTGTAGTCAGACCACTAAGTATTTCAGGCTTATACAATCTCATATATTTATTTTGTATTGTTTAATATTTTTGTATTTGCTTACAGATTGCCTTCATTAAGTTTTTCTACCTATATAACTTAGCTAATCAAAATTTGGCCAAAGTAAACAATTAGTTTAAAAAAATTTAATAATAGAAAACTTCAAATCAATAACTATTCCCTCCCAAAACATGTCCAATGTGTTCTAAGATTATTTTTGTGTGTTTCCCCACAGACCATCAGCACAACGGCAGCCTGTTCACATTGTTCCTGCACAGTCCGCTGACAGCGTTCTGTTTCATCTGCAATATCCTGACTGTGCCGATCCACCACTGGGAGCGCTGCCAGTCCTTCATAGACAGATTCGTCACCGAAGCCAGCAGACTGTTTGGACGTAGTAGAATAGGTATTGTACTCATCGCTTGGAAATACGCTCACTCATTTCGATCATACCCCGCCGCAGCTAATCGCAGACTAAGCGAATTTCAATTTGTCTGTTTTGAATTTTTACTACAATATTTCCATAAACAAGAAATACTTTATTCCCCATTTAAATAGCATTAGATTTAACGAGTGCTTAGGTTTGCCGCTACGGGAAAGGTAAAAGGTGTTTTCTTCACCAAACGTTTATACTATAGGATGAAATAAATAATTTGGCAAATTTTAATAACATCCTAAAACAAGTAATCTAGTACAACAGTTTTCTTTTTCTCCATAATATTAACATAGGAGTATTCAAATGTACAGTTTTTCTGACATAATCTCCGTTACCTTTAACAATTGTACGACAACACTTGATCATACAAAATTGTTTGTTTTATTAAGCTCTAAACAATGGCTGTAATATCAGTTTTCCCATTAACAGATGTAAATATACATACATTAAAATTTGAAGGAATAGTGGTTTTGGCCCTGGAGACATCAAAATGAAAAAGTAAACTGGTCCCGAGTCCAGGTCTTACCGTTCCACCCACTGTAATAGCTATGCTGGACAGGCGTAGTTCAGCCTAGGCCTAATAGAAGGTCATCAAAATACTCCTTCAGCGAGTAGTAGGCTTTTTTTTTAAAGTACGCAGTGAGTATCTTAAGGAGAACCCTTTTGTCGAGGAATAGGATGGAGTTTGGCAACTTATTATATATTGTTGGGGTTCCATTACTAAAGGCCATCTGAGTCCTTGACAGTCTAACTCTAAGACAGTTGGTTGTGATGCTTTGTAAGGTAATTGCGATGATGTGTTGCTGCTCTGGTAGGAAACTCCTCAATATTACGTAATTTTAGTAGGTTGTATTTTATGCAGGTGAGGATATAGTGACCAAACACTGTTAGTATTCCCAGCCAGGCAAAGATAGGCTCTCAGTGAGCCAGACAATCGCTGAAGGTGATTATTTCTTAATGCTCCCCTCAAATGCCTCGCCAACCAAACCTGCAATTAAGCCTCATGACTGAATTGTGGACCGGCCTTTACGGAATCCAAATTGACCTTTCGTCAGTAGGTTGTTGGACTCTAGGTGTTCACAAAGCTGTTTGGCCGTTAGAGCCTCTAAGACTTTACCGAAGATTGGTAAGATAGAAATGGGCCTATGCTGTCTAATATTTCTCGCTCTACCTTCTTGTAAATGGGGACATTTCTGGCAATTTTCAAATTTTGATGCTGTGGGGAAAAACGTCCTCTCTTCAAGATGTTGTTCAGAACTAGCAATAGCGGTTGAGAGATTTGTCCTATCACCCGTTTCAACCAAGTAGTGGACATACCGTAGAAGTCCGTAGAAGGGGCTGTTTGAGTTCTTGAAACCATATTTATTTACATTTTGTCTCTTTCTTGGCATCAAAAAATTTTTGTTTGTAGACATTTTTAGAGGCCAAGTAGGCTGCTTTGTCCACCTCTTGGTTGTTCTCAATAAACATGTACTTCAGTGCAAGCATGTTCTGCTTTAGCTTAAACAACTCAAGGGTATACCAGTTGAGGCAAGATTTTGACCTCGGCACCCTGGGCCTATATACCTTGGACTTGGATGGGAAAAAACATTAAATAATTTCCCTATTTAAAAAAAACACATAAAAATCATTTACATCGTCTTTTAGGACGATAAATCATTTGATCTCACCTAGAGCTACTAAAAATAGGTCTATCATGCTTAGGTCAAGTTTCCTAATGTTAAAAACATAACTACTAAGCCAAGAATTCAAAGGAGGACTCACCACATTTGAATTCATCTATCACATTACCGCTGCAGAGTGATCTGGGACAAAATGTTCAATGACTCTGGCCTCATAATCCCAAGTGTTCAGGTTTACTTACAGCTATATTGTCGACGCAGGAGTGGCCCCTCGTTGGTTGTGTTGTCGTGAAGAAAAGGACTTCAGCAGATTGAGCAGGGTAGATCTTTCGGCGCCTTCTCCAATTAAATTCATGTTGACATTAGATAGAGAGAGTTTTGCCCTGAAAATGTATTTTTAACCTCCTTGGCAATTTGTTTGTCCAGCAAGTAGTTTGTATATGTACACATTCTGCTAGGATTGATAAGCAACGTTCCATTCACATTCTGTTAGGATAGATTACTTATGTACCATTCAGTGTACTAAAATTTATCTTATAGATAAATAAAGGAAATTTGATTAATTATTAGTAGAGGTGTGCGGATAGTGAAATTTCATTTCTGATCGGATAGTTGAGGCTCGGTTCGGATCGGATCGGATATTGGGAGGTTCGGATTCGGATAGTTCGGCGCGGTTAATAATAAGCTGCATATGTATTTTCAACCTATAAAACAATGTAAAGCTGTGTAAATAAACTTAAATGACAATTTTGAATTATAGAATTTAAAATTAGCCAAGTCCACAGTTTTCTCTCTCTTGAAAATCACAATTCACAACATTTATTTTCAAAAGTTGGTTGCTTGAATTAAGTACACTAGCAGCCAAAATCTTCACACAACCCCATAGCTCAGCAGGACTGATGTCAAACGTTTGGGCTTGTTTACTTGAGGTAATGTTTTATGCTGTTTCCTGGTTCTCACAAGACAAGGAAAATCACAATTCACAACATTTATTTTCAAAAGTAGGTTGCTTGAATTAAGTACACTAGCAGCCAAAATCTTCACACAACACCTTAGCTCAGCAGGACTGATGTCAAACGTTTGGGCTTGTTTACTTGTAGTCCAGGCAAATTAGATCAAATATAGGGAGTGCTCCACAAAAAATCGTCTAAAGCTGGAAAGTGTTTTAATACCTTTGGGAGTCCCAAATAAGAGTCCTGTGAGTTTGCGACGGATTCTGACGTCTGCTTAAGTTTTGAGAGTCGACAAACTATGAAAACTTTGCACTTTTTTCAGTTTTTCGCTTATAACTCCTAAATAACGAATCCTACGGAAAATGTTGTTCAAAGGTCTCTTTTAGTACATTAAATTCTGCGTCGATTGGTGTTAAATACATCAAAATCGGCCGAGCCGTTTAGCCGCTGTAGCTTTTTAAAGTTAGATCATTTTCATCAACATGGCCAAAAGTTGATTATTTGACCAGTTTTCGGCTTACAACTCCTAATCGACGCTTGCTATACAAAAATGCACCTGTAGTTAGTTTGGAAAAGACAACATTCTGCGTAATATGTTTTTTTTTACTAATCTATAATGGCAATTGATTGCTACCTACTTTGTATGGTCGCCATTTCATTGAAAAAAATATTAATATTGAATATTAATTTTAGTAAAATTTTCCAACTTTAACTTTAATATTTTTTTCATAGAAATGGCGACCATACAAAGTAGGTAGCAATCAATTACCATTATTGATTGGTAAAAAAACATATTACGCAGAATTTTGTGTTTTCCAAACTAACTACAGGTGCATTTTTGTATAGCAAGCGTCGATTAGGAGTTGTAAGCCGAAAACTGGTCAAATAATCAACTTTTTGGCCATGTTGATGAAAATGATCCAACTTTAAAAAGCTACAGTGGCTAAACGGCATGGCCGATTTTGACGTATTTAACACCAATCGACGCAGAATGTAATGTACTAAAAGAGACCTTTGAACAACATTTTTTGTAGGATTCGTTATTTAGGAGTTATAAGCGAAAAACTGAAAAAAGTGCACAATTTTCATAGTTTTTCGACTCCCAAAACTTAAGCAGACGTCAGAATCCGTCGCAAACTCACAGGACTCTCATTTGGGACCCCCAAAAGGTATTAAAACACTTTCCAGCTTTAGACGATTTTTTGGGGAGCATATGTCTAATTTGCCTGGGCTATTGAGGTTATGTTTTATGTTGTTTCCTGGTTCTCACAAGACAAGGAGTTCGATCTCAAGTTTATTTTCACATTGCATTTCCTTACGTTTTTGGAACGGATTATTGGCCTTAAGTGGCATTTTGCGGGTTTGCCAAGTTTAGAAAACATCACTAATGCACTAAGCTGGGCTCTAGCTCACGATTTGATGTTGGGCAATTAGGCTTTATAACTCTGCAAAAGGTGTGTATCCCTGAATTTATAAATTGCATTCTACACTTATTCACTGCCAAACATAATTCAGTAGAACCTTGATGAACCGAGAATTACACTAGCCTACATACCTAACTTCATTACCCCAAGTAAAATACCAAGATAATTTTTATAATTGTATTTGAATCGTATAATCTTAGTTTGTTAAAAATGGATTGTATGTTCAACAATTAATTGCAGTCCATTATTGTTAAGCAGTATGGTCCCAAATTATTGTTTATGATTTTGAAACATCACAGTTCATTTGTCAAAATTATAGTTGAAGCAGCCCAATGTCAAGTCACGCTTGTGCAATAGTTTGTTTACAAGCTTTCTCCAGACCACTGGGGAGGGCGTGTGCTCCCGCTATCTCCGCGTTCCGCCATCTTCGAACCCAAATCTGTCCCGCCACCTCCGAATTCTTGAGTGACCCTTATAAACCCGTCACTGCCTGCGTTATTAGCTGTCATTGCATCCACGGCTGCGAAGCCCCGTGGATGGAAGATTTAATGAAAATTTAACCCGTGGGTTAGGTTAGGTTAGGTCAGGTTAGGTTAGGTTAGGTTAAGTTAGGTTAGGTTAGGTTTGGACGGAAAGTCTTAACGCAGGAAGTAACCGAGGATTATAGGTGTCACTCTGAAATTCGGAGATAGCGGTACACGGAGGTGGCGGGACGCGGAGATAGCGGGAGGTAACCGGGGAGGGTGGTGTCTGATAAGCCGTCTATTGTTCACCCCCAAGAAGGTTCGACCCTCATTAGTGCCGCTCGGCTGCACTCAGTGGGGAACCCAATACCACAAATCAATCTTTTAAAAATGAATAAAAATATTTGGTAATAATTGTTATGTTAATATTCACCTTGAAATTTCAATAAATTTGGTGTAAAATTTGACAAAAATCGGCCATTTTGACAGATTATTAATACAGTACCAAATACCAATAAAGTACATTCATTGGTAATTAAATAATAGGTAAAAATTAACCGATTTTCGTAAAGTTTTACCCCCTGCTGTATGCTATGTCACAATAGCTGATAACGACATGGGTGATTAGTAACCATGGCAACTTGTTGAATGCGTGATGAAGGGAAACCCAAAAAAGAAGAACAAAGAGAAAGAATAATGACGTTGTTATCTTTATACCCTTTTTACAATTTCTGTTATTTGTTATCTTTATGTAAAATTTTATGATTTTGTTTTATAGGTTTATAAAATAATTCTTTTTAACTACGGGAATATCAATTTATAATTTATCAACGGGCTTCTCTTCTGAAACAGCAATACCGGATGCATAATTGTATTTTGATGTTGAAATTAAAATCACGACAAAAGTGTGTATATATCCATGGTCCCTATCGTTTAATCATTTAATATGTACACAATCAATGCTAAATAATCGTGGTTAGTTCTAACTTTATTTTTTATTATTCAAAGTGTCTACACAGTAAGACAATCCAAAGTCAAACCGGGCAATGAATACCCAAAAAACAACGTATCTTATCCTGTAATTGGAATACCACTCGCCGGCCAGTCCTTTAGGTTTAGGGAAGTAGTGCAAGTGCAAGTCTATAGCTTCAAGGTCTTACCCACCCCTTCCCCCTCTGGTCCTACTTGACTCACTACCCGCGCGTAAATACCCGCGTCATTAAATCTATTGTTTACGTAACATCACAGTAGTAGGCTAGATTTTTCTACTTTGAAACAGTACTGTAAAAAAAACTATTACGCAGTGCCCCTAGTATCAGGAGGGAGACAAGCACGAGTTGACTTTCATTTGACCATGGTAGTTCTTTTCTGCTTTATGTCTGTCTGTTCGTCCAGATGAATCTAATCGTAAAGCAAAACAGCCGATAACGACTAAACTAGTTATTGATATTGCATCATACGGCTTCTTTGCCGTTTGCTGTGAGGTCGTTGGAAACATATTGCTGTAATTTTGTCCTGGGAAACTAATGGTGGTTATGGAGATTTAGTTTTCTGTCCAAAACGTCAAAATATATTGTCTATCCGAAAAAGTCGGATATATAACGGATAGTGTCGGATATCGAATTTGGGCTCGGTTTGGATACGGATATCGGAACCGAACCGAATCCGACCCGATTTTTCGGATATCCGCACACCTCTAATTATTAGTACAGTAGAACTCCAACTATCCAAACTCTAACTAACGTAATCACCGATTATCAGAATCCCTTTCAGAAATCATTTAAAACCACAGCAATACAAATCGTACAGAAGCCGTGATCGCGGCAAAATTGAAAATCTCTCTTGGTCATGTAGACATCATCACCATCTCCCGTGGTGCCGTAAACATCGTAATCGATTTTTGCGATCAACTGGGATACAGTCCCATGGTCCCAAGTCCCAAATGATTCGGATGGTTAGAGTTATACTGTTATGTAAATTTAGTCTTCAAATTTAGAATGGAATCCTGTATGGAACAAAAAGAGCGATAGAGTTAAATAATAATTTAATCCAAATAAATCTCTAATCGTATGTTTTTTTTTTTTTTTTTAAATTGGGTTTTCTCATTTTTGTTCATTAAAAACATACCATTTCCTAATTTCTCTTCAATCCATTTTGTAGGGCTAAAAAAAAAAAATTAGTAGGCCCTAACTTGAAGTGTTCTTTTACAAATTAATGGTCACAGAGAAAATGAAAAAAAAAATAAGTTTAAAATTCCTATGTTATTCTTATGGAGAATTACTTAACTGTTGTAGTTTGTTTTTTATGGATATAGGTCCAGTCAAACACAGTATTAAATTATGAAATCTAATAAATATTTCAGTTGAATAATGATAGTAAAACTAAACAGGTTTTTATAGCATGTTTTGAACATTTCAGACCCAGCATATCTTCAATTCTTTGGAGACGATTTCTTAAGATTACTGCTATTGAGATTTGTCTTCTGTCACGTCGTCCTACATCTTCATAGATCGTTCAAGGTCAGAATCACTCAAACTATTTTAATACTTGATGGAACATTTTTTTTATTTCATAAGTCTACCAAAGAAGTGTGTTTTTATACATACTAGTGGTCGCCTCGTGGTCGACAACTCGACCAAATTATATGTATATTGTGCAAACCTCTATATTTTCACCCCACGCTGTAAATAAAATATGTGATTGGAATTGCTTCTATTTGTTTTGATTTTCTGTTTATATTTTGTTGTTATTTCGTCACCAGCATGACATCCCATGTGAAAACCCATGTTAATTTTTTTTAAATTTCAAACTCATTTTTTGTGTCTATTTTTGAGCCTATTTTACTGCACTTCTACAGGAAAATATCTTTCTAACAGTATGCATAGGTTTTCCATACGATGCACACGAGCTGAGAAAAAAGGTTTTAATGAAACCTGCTTGCCTATTAATATATGGATTTGGTTTTGACTATTTAAGCCTTAAAGGTTAATATTACAGACTTCCACTTACCTAACTATCTATGAGAGTGTGACTCAACAAAAACTCTGCTAAAAGGTATACTTTCAATCAGCTGCAACATACATTAAGCAGAAAAAAGTGGTGTGGAACTTCCCCTCAAACCGCCTAAATTTTGCGAACAGAGTATAGCACAGTAGACTGTTAGGTCTGATCAACGGCCTAGACTACTACTTGGTGTTTTTTTTTTTTTTTTTTTTGCCAGAAGACAACACAGTAGATTTAAGCTTTAAGTCCTGTCTCAATCAGGTCTGATGTGCAACTCTTGAGCAGGTCTCTGGCAGAGATTGATAGGAAAAGACATATAAAATTAACGTTGGACAGGTCTGGTGGAAGTTGTCGGATGGGTGGTCTCTTTGTGAGTTGCACCTCAAGTCAGACATTTACCTACTTTTTGCACACCCTCGATCTTTGTGTCCACCAAAAACTTTTTCAAATTATTTGGACATTTGTATTCATTATAAGAGGGGAAGGCATAAAAAATAAGCTAAGTTAATGGATAAATGACCAAACTAACTAAAGATCATTAATCAGAATGGCATGTGTTGTGCAGGGAAGGCAGCTGAGACCGCGGTGTCAGCCACCATTGCCAGACGCCGACCTGCTAGAACATCCGGCCCTGCAACATCTGGTGCTGGATCTGGCGTCACACCTTGAGGTAAATGAAAACTCAACAACTTTATTAATGTAACTGTCTCTAAATTATGTTTCATGAGGATATTGCAAGTGTAGTTTTATTTGGTGAGTGGGTGGCTCGGTCGGTAGCAAGACGGAAACTGTGTAACTACAGTGATTTTGTAGGTTTGGGTCTCATTGGTGCCACTTAACATTCATATACATTAGTGATGGACGGATCCAAGAAAATGTCGGTACCGGATCCGGATCGTGAAAAATTCGGATCCGGATCAAGAACATGATAGATACGTACTGTCATAAAGACAGTTTTTTTTTTTTTTTTTTTTAACTTAATATTTATAGAAATCTAATTTAAATCATACTGTTTAAAATGAAGTTGGTAATGTTTAAAGGTTGATATAATAAGATATAAGAATAATATAGCTTATATAGCGATGCAATGTATCAGAACATGTCGACGTCTAAAAATTCTTTGGCTGGCTAAAGAATGGTGAAAACCGGAGTTCCCTATCTCTTCTCTATACAAAGTAGTAGCCAATATTACCAAGATTACATTTTTATCATAATCTTCTTATTATAAAATTAAACTTCCTGCTAAGTTTGCACAACCATCTTACTTGAATACTTGTTGTCTTAATCTTTGACCGAAGTATATCGGATAGATTGCGTCGTTATACTAATATTTACAAAATTATTATATACAAAACTTGTTTTACAAAGTATCGTAAAACTTAAAACTTGAAACTTAAGCTGTGGTAAGCGTGTCTATTTCTCAACCTGGCATCAAAGGATCATTTGACAACTCGTCAAGACTATACAGGGGCCTATTTGTGAGCAAGTTCTTCAGCTCGGACTTAAACGCTGTACCGTCAAGGTTCCTTAGGTGGTTTGGAAGGGAGTTGTAGATTTTGATAGCCGATCGGGGGTATCTCCTTAAGGTATGGCTCAAGCGGCAGCGAGGCATATCCAGGTCATGGGCCCTTCTTATTCCATACTCATGCCTATCACCTCGGGTCACAAAATCACTTAGGTTTTCCTTTAGCAAGACCAGACTATTAAGTACGTACTGGCTCACCACTGTGAGGATTCCCAATTCTTTGAAGATGGGTCGGCAATGTTCTCTTGGGCCTTTAGATGTTATCACCCTCACAGCTTTTTTTTGTAGCAGAAGTATTTCATGGCATGCAGGGGAGTGTCCCCAGAGCACTATTCCGTACATCAAATGGCTATGAAATAAGGCATGGTATATGGTTACCAGATAGGTCTTAGTGATTTCATCTCGGAGTTTCCTTAGCAGATAGAGAACTCTGGATAACCTAACGCATACCTTATCAATGTGGTTAAACCAGTTTAGCCTAGAGTCCAGCCAAAACCCAAGCAACTTCACAGCTTCCTCATGATCAGTCCTCGACTTGAGGGTGCACATCAAAGATTGAGTCTTTTCTTCATTTATTTTGAAGCGATTAGCAATAAACCAGGACTTAGCCTCAACAAACAACTCGTCCGCTGTATCCCTCAACAGGTTAATGTCCTTCCCTCTAGTCACCAGGGTGGTGTCGTCTGCAAAGAGGAGGGTGCAGCCGTTTAGCCAAAGGTCGTTTATCATGATGCTAAACAGTAGAGGGCCTAACACCGAACCTTGAGGAACGCCATGGGGAACAACCTGGACATTTGAGGACACTCCGTTCACTGATACAAATTGCCTACGATTTTCTAAATAATTCTGCAAAGAGCACAACACTGTACCACCAATACCATATTTTTTCAGTTTCCCTAAAAGGATGTTGTGGGAAACAACATCGAACGCCTTACTCAGATCGCATAACCTCAGCATGACTGAGTCATTGCACTCAAAGGCATCTGAGAAGAGATCAGTCAGATTCATTAGGGCTGTAGTAGTTGAGCGCCCACTTCGGAAGCCGTGCTGGGCATCCGAAAGCAAGTTGTTACTTTCAAAATATTTAATTAGCTGCCTCTTCATCACAGTCTCAAGTACCTTAGAGAGCACCGGAAAGATAGATATGGGGCGGGAGTTAGACGGATCTGAGGGATCTCCCTTTTTAAAGATTGGAATGGTCCTAGCAACTTTTAGGACATCTGGAAAGGACCCTTTTAGTAAGCACAAGTTAACTAGCTTAGTTAGCGGTGTACATGTCAGATGTATAATACCTTTAAGTATAGAACAGGAGATACCATTTACATCTTGGCTGTCAGAGTTTTTGAAGCCCTTCACTAAACTTATAATATAACGTTCACTCACCTCAGTCCAACTTGTTAGTGTGTGGTTAGTGGCATAATCAGTGACTGCAGCAACCGGATCTTCATGCTGCAACAAGGAGAGGTTGTTGATGATATCATCAGCTATCCTGACAAAATAGTCATTGAAAACATCAGGGGACGCAGTTATCTTAGGGCTAGGGCTGGACCTCCTGTGCTCATTTACGACATCCCACGCAGCCTTACAAGTATTGGACGCCTTCAATATTTTGTTTACATTGCTGACTTTCTTTGATTCCTTAACTTTAGCACTGTAGTCTTTCTTTAGTTTAGAATATAGAGCAAAGAATTTAACTTTTTGATTTAGGTCAACAGCAAGTTTGTAATGATCGTGCACTAAGATCACTAAGGAACGCAATTTCCTAAGGTCTGAGGAGTACCAGGATTTGTCAATGGCTGTACATTTAGTCTTTTTACTACCAAGTTTATAGATTTTCACCGGATACACTACATCAAACTTATCCTGGATCAAGTCGAGAAATAACCTGAATGCAGTATTAGGCTCTGTAGTGAGTTGTAGGCCTAAACAGTTCCAGTCCACGATATTTAATTCGTCTATGAGCAAAGGCAGGTTATCCTTATCAATAAATCTCTTAGTGGCTACGTTCTTATCTGCATAGGAAGTATTTGACCTTACCTCATCAGCCTTGATCTTCAAGAGAACTGCTCCATCATGGTCGGCAACCACAGAACTCACCACCTTTACCTCGTAGTCCCAGGAGTCTATGTTAGTGGCTGTTGCATCCAAACAAGCCAGTCCACGGGTTGGAAGTCTCGAAGTTACATAGAGGCCGTAGCTTCGCAATAAGTTGACAAAAGTAGCTTCCTCCCTAGATTGGGCGCTCAAGGTGAACATTAAAGTCCCCACAGATAACAAGTTTCCTCGGACAGAGTCTGCTAAGATAGTCGAGGCAGAGTTCGAGCTGGTAGATAAAAGATTCAAAAGCTCCGTCAGGAGACCTATATACACATATTAGGATGGTGGAAATATCCACTATCTCAATAGCCGTCAGTTCGAGAACTAGCTCAACACAAAATCTGGTCAGATCGATATTCTTATAAGTGAAAGCAGCAGTCGCAAAAATTTCCACTCCCCCATTTTTGTGTTCTGTACGGCAGTAGGCACTTACTAATTGAAGTTTATCAAGGCAATTGTAGAAGTCACATTCAACTCTATCTAACCAATGTTCAGTTATGCACAAAAAATCGCAATCCACTTCATTGACAAATAAGGAAACTAGGGCAGACTTAGTCCTAAGACACTGGACATTCAGATTTGCAATGGTCACAGAATGTTGGTGTAGGTTAGAGTCAATATTGTCTGTGTGTGTACCTAGGCTTACACGAGAATTTTCATTAGGTTGCTTAATGCCTAAGCCTAGACCTCTCTGGCTTAGACTTATGTTGTCACAGTTCGGTGAAATGTTCGTCCTAAAAAAGGATAATTCCTAGTTACTCGTTCCCCCCTAGGCTCCCGACTCGATGGCAGAAATGCTCTCACCAACACTCCCCTAGGCCAAAAGCTAGGGTCCAATATCTCACCAGCTACATCTAAAGGAACTCCCACTTTGAACGAGCAATAGGAGTTGTGGCGAGTTTTTCATTGGATGCACTCACTGTCTGAAACACCTTTAGAAGCCAAGAAGTTCAAGTGCTGAGTCACATGACACATCTGGTGAAACTCTTGAAACAAAGAAAAATGATTTCTGACGCACAGACTTGAGGTTATCAGCAGCGCCGCTCGTCCCTATTATTACAGAGTTTAGCTTCTGCTTGTTCCCGTGGTTGAGGTTCTGCGTAGGCCTAGTTCTTTCTGAATCAGTTGGTCTTGATTTAAAATGATTTTTCACCACATTAGAATAGGAGACTCGAGAATTGGTCGATATTGATTTATTACCATTGATATTCCTCATTCCACTGTTTTCGTACATCTCAATTTCATGACGATGACTTGCAGTTTCAGTTTCAATTCCTGGTAAAGGTTCATTTCCACTTTTTATCTGTCCAACATCGGTTTCAACTACAGCTTCAGCTTCACTCCGTTCCGAAAACATGAGTCCGTTTCGGTTCCTTTTTTCCTTCAGTTCCCGTCCAGAGTCTATTTGTAGATTCACTGGTACTTGAATTTCATCTTCGTTTGCATCCACCAATGGCAAATTTGTAGCTGTCATGTTGTCGATGTCTGCTGGTGACGTCATCGTAACTTCTATTCTCTGACTTGAATCTAACATGTCTGTTTCCTGCATAGAACTAACCTCAACTTTGTGTAAATCCATAATTTGATTTAGTCCAACCTTAGTCTTAATGCTATTCGTTATAAGAATATTAATTTTCTTCTCAAGGTTTAGTCCTATTTTATGGAAAGCTGCTACCTTACTTTTCATGTCGTTAAGTTCACCAATCAAGTTTGTCAGCGGAGGTTCGTCATGCACAATGTGGTCCTTGATCCTTTTAGTGCAGGGACTGCAAAACCACTTAACATGCTCTTCAATCTTCCTGATATCGTTAAATATTTTCGCAGATATATTCACACATCTAGCGTGGTGCCACGAAACGCAATAACCATCGCAGAGAAGGGTTTTTTCGTTATCTAAACACAATTTAGAACACACCGGGCACTTGCTCTCAACTTCGCCTTTCACCATTACCACAGCCTTCCAATTACCAACTGCCCACCATCAAAAACATCTGTGTATTTACTCAGAAAAATATGAAATGGGGGGGTCTTGACTTGTTATTCACCCTGTATGGACACAGACAGTCTTGTATATGGACACTGATAGTCTTGTTCATGAACACAGATATTCTTTTATGGACACTGACAGTCTTGTATATTGACAAAGTTAGTCTTATCCACACCACTAAAACAGCCCAGCCAAGACACAGAGACATACACCAGCACAACACACGACATGCCGCCAATTTTTCCCTCCCACAACACCATCTGAGTCTGTACGAGAAGAAACCATCCTACAAAGATGCTCTGTACTTTAACAACCTACCAGAGCACCTCAAGAGAGAACAACCCAATCTGTTCAAGAAGCACCTGACAACATGGCTTATGGACTGGCCGTTCTACTCTGAGGATGAATTCTTAAACAATAAGCTACCATGAAAAAAATAAGAAAAAGAAGAAAAAAATTCTAATTGTAATTGCAAATTACTGTAATAGTTTACGTACATACTGTACATTTTATGTACCTGACGCATGAATGTTCTCTAGGAATATTTCAATAAAGATTTTGTCTATTGTCTATTGTCTATTGTCTATGGAGACTAACTTTGTCCATCCTTAAATAAACAAGTCAAACGTATCCAGTCTTAGACCCTGTACACATGGGAGTGTTGCCACCAACAATTGTTGTACCAATTGTTGTACCAACAATTATCAGTTTGTACTATTAGGAGTTTATCGTTCCCCAAGCGCAAGCAGTAAACTATTTTTAGATAAACTTAGTTTTGTGATTGACAGGCTCTTAGGAATTTGTAAAAATATAATTGTAGCTGGGGACATTAATATAAATGTATTGGATAAAAAACACACCTATAGCCTAAACAGTTTTCAAACATGCTAAAAAGCCACAGCATGAGATATTTGGTGGACTTTCCCACAAGAGTTGTTAAAAATTCCAAATCCTCTATTGATAATTTTTTAACTAATATTACTGATGTACAGATGTATGTATATGGTTTAATTACTTGTTTGTCAGACCATGATGGTCAGGTACTTGAGATGAATATTACCCTTGATCATGACAAAAAAAATCCATAGTAAAAACTTGTAGAAATCTTGGCCAAGAAAACATCAATTTGTTTAAATCAAAACTGAAAGATGAGAATTGGATGGAAATTTACATGTCTCCTATTGAATTTAAGTACTCTAAGTTCCATCAGAATTTTTTTTATTATTTTAATGAGTGCTTTCCACAAATTACTGTTAGAACAGGCTCCAAAAAGAATTGCTGGATGAATACTAGGTTAAGAGAAGAGAGGGAAACTATTGTTAGGCTAAATAAGTGTGCAAGAGATCAAGATAAAGAGTGCAAAGAGCTTAAAACTCGTCAAAGAAAATTTAAATTTGATCTTTTAAAAATAAAAAAAGAATATTATAACAAAAAAATTAAATGTTCATCAAACATTTCAAAAACAACGTGGTCAATTATTAACAAGGAAGTCTTTAACGGCAAAAAACAAAAAGAACAGGAAAATATGTCATTAAAAGTTAACAATAAGATAGTTAACAATCCAAAAGAAATAACAAATAATTTTAACTCATTTTTTACAAAATCCTCAACGTTACATACAAAATTTTGTAATACTACATCAGACACCTCTTCAAAAAATATATGGCATACAAAATTGTATTTCGAACCAGTAACTGATACCGAAATAATAACTATTATACAATCTTTAAAAAATAAAACAACATCTGGCTATGACGATTTATCAGTAATAATGTTAAAATAGGTGAAAGAGGAGATTAAATTCATTTTAATGCATCTAATTAACTCATCATTTGTAACAGGAATTTTTCCAAATGAGCTTAAAATTGCTAGAGTGGTACCCGTTTATAAGAAAAACTCTAATAAAGATATTTCAAACTACAGGCCAGTGTCAATTCTCCCGGCAATATCAAAGGTATATGAGAAGGCAGTGTACAACAGGTTGAACAGTTTCTTGAGCCAGAATGATCTAATTGATAATGAACAACATGGTTTCCGTGCTGGTAGATCAACTGTTACATCAGTGGTTAGTTTCATTGAAGCCGTGATAAATTCACTAGATAAGGGTTTAAATTCAGCTGGCATCTTCATGGACATGTCCCAGGCATTTGATAATGTAGACCACCATCTAGCTAAACTTGATAATTTGGGTATTAAAGGAGTCACTCTCAAATGGTTTAAATCATACTTAGAGGAACGTTACCAATTTGTGGAAATATCAACTTTGTCAAAAAATAACATCATCCAAAAAACAAGATCTAATTTATCAAAGATATCATCTGGTGTCCCACAGGGATCGATTCTTGGTCCTCTTTTATTCATATGTTACCTTAAAAATCTTCCAAATTCTCTAAAAGACGCAGGTAGTAAGATAAGTATATATGCAGATGATATTAATCTTAACACAACTGGGAAATCCCTAACTGATTTAGAAGTGTCTGCTAAATTAGAATTAAAAAGTCTGAATCAGTTTTTAAAAGACCATAATTTAGTACTTAATACTAGTAAAACTAATTTCATTCTTTTCAAAACAAAAAGAGACAAAAATGATATAAGTATAAAGTTAGATATAGATACAAATTCCATTGCTCAAGTTCAAACCTCAAAACTATTGGGTTTGATAATAGATGAGGATTTAAGCTGGAATAAACATATTGAGTATTTAATAAAAAAACTAAATTCTGGTATATTCGTCCTAAGAACAATGTCATATCTCTGTGAAGGATCAGTCCTTAAAATGATATATCATGCTCATATTGAATCACATATTAACTATGGAATTAGTATTTATGGTGGGACAAAGAAAAAGAATTTAAAAAAGATTTTGAAAATACAAAAAAAAGCAATCAGGATAATACATAAATTAAAATATAACCAGTCCGTCAAATCTTATTTTAAAGGGATGGGCATTTTTACAGTTCACGCCTTATATATTTTTGAAACAATTAAATATTTTTTAAATATTGCTGAGATTCAAGAATTGCCTGTGCATAATTATAATACAAGGGGTAAAAATTATTTAGCTAAAGAAAAACCAAGACTGGAACTTTTTAAAAATAAACCTTCTTATATTGGAAACTATTTTTTTAGAAAACTTCCTAGTTTTTTAAAAAACGAAAAAGACAAATCTAAATTTATATGAAAAAACTGAAGGCATTCTTACTTGACCTTGCACCTTACAAAATAGAAGATTATAGTAATTTAAATTTAAAATAATGTAGCCTATAGTATTTTGTTTAAATGTTTCTTATTGCTAATTTAGGTAGTAAGTAACAATAGACACTGTTCATGTACGAAAATTTGTACTGTGTGAATAAAGACTCTTTGAATCTTGAATCTTGAATCTTGCAACGTGCGTTACGTGTCGCGTGTTGCAACACGCGTCTTAGAAACACAGCAATCAAATGTACACATACAGCGCCAGTGCTTTGGCCAACATGCGTTCCTACGCGCACCTGGGAGGTTCATCGAGCAACGCGTGCTAGCAGCGCGCTTCGAGTTACGAAGGTTCTAATGGAACCGTACACATGTGAGCGTTGTAACGCGCGTTTTGGAGTAGAGGGGAGTAGGTTTATGTATGTTTACTGTGTACTTCTAAACAATATATTATGGTAATTACGAGGTTCTCTTCTGTGAAATCCAATCCCTAACAATGCTCTCACAAGGTGCTGGACAGACTTTTTCGTTTAATGAAGCAATTAACATGCTTGAAGTAGCAAAAGCAAAAAGAACATAGTTCAACATATACAACATAGTACAACATAGTTAGTTGTTTTAAGATTGTTTAACACTCACCCTGCATTCGTATCCAGGCTAAAAACAAAAACTAAAGGCAAGAGACAGACGGACTCATGAGAACAGGGTGGATTATTTTGTAACATACACACAGCCTCAGAAGTCTGCAAGCAGGCGGACTATCCCTTCCCTCCTCCACCTCGTGCATTCCCTACTTGATGATTTTTTTTCCTATGTGATTTTCATAAATGCATTCTGTGGTTAGGGGAAGATGAAGTTTTCAGTGATGATGATTTATATTTAGTGCTGTTGTACTCAGTACCTAAAATAAGAAACATTGGAAAAACATGTTTTTTATTATTAATATCTCCATTGGTAAACGTGGATCCCAAAGGACACGATGAGGTCTGAAAGCTTCAATCAAATTTTTTTTTATGTAATGCTTATAATTATGCAAAAACTAACCAAAGAAACGGAACCACGTGTGGAACAGGATGACAGTCCCTCAAAAGTAGGTGTAAACCAACCACAGTGCACATAGTGGTATTGCAGAGGGATAAAACAACGTTGAAAACACCTCTATGCTCATGTGCAGCAGAAAAGTCTGCAGGAGGATTTTTAAAAATCGCCCGAGAGGTGTTTCCCGAAAATCTGTCCTCGAACTCAAGTGGATTCCGGCAGACGGACAAACTTTTGTGTGCGTTGCCCCATTTGAAAACTTGGGGAGCGAATATTAGTCTGCCCGTTTGCGTGAGTCATCTGTCTCTGTGTGCGCCGGCCTTAAGTATGACATTGTCTTAGTAAAGTGAACTGCTTCACCTCACATTCTTCAAATTTTTTTATACTTATAGATCCTCCTGCTTGTTGTAGGTGCGGAGTCACTTTGAAGGCAACGAGATGATGGATTGACTCACAGATATCACGCAGTTTGTCCATACCTCCGATGTTCTCATTGTTACTTTATCTAGTATTTGGCTAATGGAGATTACGCTTTTTTGTACCTTTTCAGTTGATGTAACAAAGCGAAAACATGACATTGAGATGATTCACCTATGTAACCTTGCTGGCGTAAGATTTTCTTGATCATAATAAGTCTAGATAGTAAAATAATGAGAGAAAGGAATTGGCTTGAAATGTCTATTTTGTTTGTGGATGAGGTTAAACAATTACAAAACAAAAACAAATTCAGAAACATAAGCTGATTAATAATGTTTCCAAATTTTATGTTTCTATAAATTTGTTTAGTAAGTGTGGTATTGTATGCCTTTTAATATAACTGAAAATTTATAGCTTAGAAAATAAATTTTTTCTGATAACTAGACTCTAGACAAGAATAATATTGAAAAATAATTTATACTTACAAAAACTTTTTAAACAGTGTATACATCTAATAATGGCAAAAAAACTTAATCCTGACTAAATTTAATCTTCTTCAATCACGATTACCAGATAATGTTTGTTACCTATTACTAATTTGAAACAAAAACATGAAAGAGTTGATAAAAACATAGAATTTTGAGTATTTCGACAAATGCTCCACAATTTGGTTTAAACCCTACAATAAACATAATCTGTAAAATATATCTAGCAATATAGCTTTTATAAAAATTATATTTGTACTTTATTCTTTGTTGAATTTGGGTAATCATTTTTTTCTAAATGGTGATGGGTGATGGATGGCACTTGAATAAGTAAAATATTTTGAAGATCTCTTTGCTCATTTGTCCTTAACATGAAGTCGGTCTGTCATGCCCGTAAACTGTTTAGTCTTAGTAACAAAAGACAAAAACAAAAACTTGTTATGACTTAAAATGCTAGAGAATTATAAGCAGTCTGTACATTCCAGATTTCCTTCCTTAAAAATTGTTTAGCTACAGTTTCGAAACCATAGAAATCTTGTGCAAAATGCTGTATAATCTGCTTTGTTTGAACATATCTTTAAAATATCACTCTCGACTCTTAATATTTTACTAAGCTGTAACTTAAAAGCCTCAAATTATGATCTATGATTTTTATTAGTAACACAACTTGAAACGTTTTACTTTTATTAACTGTGCAAAATGTAAATGCATTACTTTACAAAGCAAAACATTTATTTAAGTAAAAAAAGTACTTTAATAGCTATTTACCTTACAAGTGTAGTAAGAGCGTTTTTACATCACGCAGGTGAATGTTGTGCAACGAGCGGAAGCGAGTTGCATAATTTACCGAAGTGATGTAAACACGCTCTTGCGTAACGTGTAACGTACAAGATTTTACCTGACCCGACAATATACAGGATGTTACGAACAATATTTTTCATTATCCATTTCACTTATCTTCTAACAGTAACGTTCATTTACAAACAAAAGCTAGGTTAGGAAATTTCTTAAAAACATATAGATATCCCAAGAACAAAACAACCTGCGCAGAAACGAAAAGATCACGTGGTTCGCGCAGGTAGGTGTGGCGTAGCATTCAAACCTGCGCGGCTCGAAACGGCCCAGGGTTCTTTTGTTTCTGGTATTACTATAACAATAAAATTCAAGCGCACAGCTGATTTCTAGCGTTGAACGTCGTTGGCTCCATAGAGGTATAGGCCTATATTTTTAAGTTATCCACTCAATGTTATTTAAATGGGTTTCATTACATCACCGAGTGAGTTTTTCTCAACTTTACATCACTCGAGAAGTAACGAAGTTATATACATCACGCTTGGGATAGGGAAGTTTAACATGGCGGGTTAGGTAAAACAATTTAGACAATATATGTACCTATGTTACTTAAAGAATTGTATACTTTATAGTTTAATTATTGTGTCTATTATCAAACTACAATATTATCAAAACCAGTAAAATAATGGATTTTATTTTGGGGAAAGGTGTGACAGTCTACCAAATCATACCCCAATTGATTCAAATTCACCTTTATAGTGTACATTTTACTTACTTAACTTTTTCTTTAGATTTTCAGGTATAAAAATTGTTGCTCCTAAATTATTAAATTTAAACTTAACCACAGTAGAGGCTGATTATCCAACCCAACCTTATGGATCTGTTGAAGACAATTTTAGGGTTTTTTCGGTTTTGTCAGAGAGTGCTTTGTTTTTAATATTTATTTATTCTCATTCAAGCAAGTATAAAAACATTTTTTGACTACATAGATCATTGTGTTTTTACAGACTAGAACTAATATGCAACCGACTGAAACACTTATACATAAATAATTAAAATGTGTTAACACTAAAAACAAATACTCCATGCCATATGAAAAACTTAAAGTTGTGTAGCATCCAAGATAAGAATCAAAAGGTTAACTCAGGGAAAAGTAATCAAACAACTTTATATTTGTTGACCATAACTAATAATATATTAATATTTGTTGACCCTTTAACTATGGTTTGTGCCTTTAGGAGACTCTTTGTAGAAAAATATTTTTCAGGGAAGACCTCATTGAAGTATACAGTTGATAGGAGTGTGGCTTATGGTTTTCCTACAAGTTTCTGATCCTTACTGTCTTTATATATTGGTATCAATTATTATCCTTCAATGTAGTCTTTAACTATTAAGATCTTGTCAAACGTTTTACAAGTATTTTGACTCCTTTATTCTAACAAACACAGACGTTCTTCTTCTCATGGGGATCAATAGTCTGTGTAAAAACAGCTCTTTTGGGGTATGAGGATTGGCACATGTCACAACAAACATGTTAAGGCTAAGTTTGAGTTAATTTAGTAGGGTTTGTAGTTTATAACAAGGTTACTACTGAAAGCCTTACAAGAAAGAGATCTGTAGTAAATCCAATACAGAATATTTTATAACTAAGACAACTCTAGAACGTTATGTCATGTGAATAAAGTCATCAAGTGTTTACGCTCATGTTAATGTAAAATACTTCACATTTAGGTTTTTTTAGCGTTGAAACTTATTCTATATAGCGAAACTGCTTTAAATTCATATCCCTGTGCATAATTTTTCACATAATAGTAAATAGTTCTAGTTATAAAAGGGAGAATAGGAAGTGTACATACATGGTCAGCATCGTCTGTTGACAAAGAACAAGTCTAGAACGAGATCAAACTTAAACTTCAGCTCGTCTGGAGAGAGGTATAGAGGTGTTTTCGGCCTCAATCGAGTCAATATTTAAATAAAAAATTGACTTCTTTAAAGCTTTAATTTTTCGACACTACTATAATACTGTACAAATATTATACTAACAGGTTGTAAAATGAATGCTAGGGTTCAAATTATCGATACTATATTTATACAATATACATAATATATAAATATATACATATATAAATATTTATAAATAATATATCGAAGCTTTCTGTGTGGTGTTTCTCCTAAGCTGGCCAAGTCTTTGCTTGTTGAAAGGTCGGAAAACATTTTGTCAAACCACTGCCAATATCTGTTTGGAGAGAATTACTGCTACATTCGTCGAGTCTCGGTATAACTGTGGAAAATTGTTTTGATGCGCATCATACTATTGAAGATTATTTGTAAAAAGGTCATTATATAGGCTAATTAATATTCTGTTAACTAATTATTCCCAGGATGGATTGTTACATCTTTTGATTTACAACATATCAATTATTTATCATAACTAAAATATTAAACATCCAAATTTAGTCAGTTTTTAGGGTACACTTTGTGCCATCTTTTAACAATGAAGAGTGTAGCATTAGTTCTCCATCAGCCGAGCTATAATTAATTGCTAGAGAGTGAACTTGGGTTTATCATCTCACTTCAGTGTCCGTCTCTTGAATATGTTAAGCTACAGAATTCTCAATACTGATACAGTACCTCTAATAACCTCTAATGTTGATGTATTGGAAACGATACATGTCTCTTTTCCTATTGATCTATACGTTTTATTGTGTTGAAATGTAACCTAAACAAAACGGCTTCATTTATGTAATCATGCTAATCCTATATCAGTTCCCTTGGAGACATACACTGATGCCCAAGTTCTCTTACAAGATCTACTGTCTGAACATTCTCAATTTGTATTATAAAGTTTCACAATGATTTCGAGCATGAAATCTCCCATGTATATATCATAATGTAAAATTATAATTGATTTTGACTAATACTTAATTTCACTCAAAATGTTATTGAACATTATTTTTGAATCTTAGAATTTTTATATTTGGTGAATTCATCTGTATCGTTTAATGTTGAGGATTTTGTGTGTTTTAATATCAGTAATCATTGAAATCTTTGTGGTGCGTTTCAGATAGTTTCACTAATGTAAATATTTCATTTATTAGTGTATTCTAGACTCACTAGTTTTTTGACATTCCTTGTTTAACAATGAACAATAAAGTGATATCTCCATTAATATTGTTTGTAACACCAAAGTAAGGTTATATTTGTAATTTTTTTATAATTTAGACATAGTTTTGGATGATTATTTTGTTATTTAACATGTATTTTAAAAATTTGTAAGTTGCCTGAGAACTATCAATCTTTTTTTAAATTTGGCTTTTACTGTTCATTAAATTTTTGTTAAAGGCTTGGTTATATGTATTGTTAGTCTTATTTAGTTGAACTTGTATTGGATATTTTATTTTAAAAATATAACATAATATGGTTTTTTAAATTATGGAAAATAATCATCCTCCAAAACACCGCCTTTATCCGCTTGATGTTATGATTGTGTTTTACTAAAGAATTGTTTTAAAATAAATTCCCAAAACGCTCAAACTGGCAAAAACTCTATATGCCACAAAATTGTAACAACTTCCAATCCAAATACTGTTACTTTTATTAGTTGTTTACAGTGATTGTTATATTTGGTGTCTCCTAAAAGTTGTTGTAACATTGTTTTAAGTGTTTAAAAGCTAATCATATTGATTATTCTTTTTCTAAAAGAAAATTCTATACATTCAATATACTACTCTTAAAAAACTCTAATTAAAGTTTGCAAAACTTATACAACAGTTTTTAAATTCTCAATTTGAGCCAATAACATACAAATCACAATTGTCTAAAAATGATTTCACCTCACGTTTAAATATTTCATTATTCATTTATTTATATGTTATACGATGTCATTGGCTACAGTTATATATTTTGAAACAATTAAACTGATAAATAATATATAAAGTTAATGTTTATAGTTTCCAATTATTTTCAGTCGTTAATCATTTAAAATTAGTTTTCTTTAAGGTATCAGTAAATCAGGCGAAATAAATATTTCACATAAATTTTTAATCAATATATGCTTTGAACGATTGATGATTTTAGTTTTAGGACACTTAAATTTACTGAACACTGCAAATATGAAAACATTAATTTAATATTTACGTTTATTTAGTATATTTTCATGTTTGTTGTACTACACTCTACACTCGTTTGTATATACATTACATTTAGAATCAAGGTTCCATGTCTTCATGTAAAATATCAACTGACCTTGACAAATTTCTTAAATTTTTAGCATTTTTATGAATCAAGTGTTCTTATCAGGCAATTTTTATGTACGAACCGACACGAAAGCTACGTATTAGTCGTTCTGTAGATACGATATTATAAACCTCATTCTCCGTTCCCTCGACTGTTTCATGGCCGAGATGCATCTTAGTATTTTAAGTTCTGTAAGTAAACTTTCATATCATTTAATAACGTCGCTAGACTCGGATGTGATAATTAATTGTTTTTATAAAACATACTTCTGAGGTTGTACTTACGAGAGTTTTATAGCGATAAAATATATTTATTTATTGTTACCGTACGGTATTTCTTTATAAGTCACCGATATACGTAGGTAATGTTGTTTTTTACCCCACCCGCTCCTCGGTTCGGCGAATTCATGTGACGTGTACAAACATTTACACTGCTGAAACCTGAGGGTTTTAACAAATGTAAATGAGATATTAAATTAATACCACGATATAATAAAAATAATGAGCTAATGGAGTGTGTTTTGTTTCCCCCGCCCTGATTATAAATAGCCTCCGTTGAAGAGTCGCAGTCAGTGTCACTGGAGTCTGGCCAAGTGTCCGAGGCTTGTTCATCACTTCGGCACATTTTTTTAGCTTAAAAATAACATTTTGCAGTTTAGCGGAGGTAACGGAAGTACGGCAGAGTCGAGTGTCCGGAGAGGAGCGTCACAGCGCAGATGGAGGATCAAGGTTCGTAGGCTCTGACATTACTGAGTATTTATAACAATCATCACGAGTGGTCTGGCAACGTCCGTCTGTCCGTAGTAGCAACAGGCTGCTGTGTACAATATCTCATTATAATGTTATGCAACAGAAAACTCAGGTTCTATTCACCGTTTACTGTTTGGGAATGTTGCCAATCTCGGACATGTGTCCTGACTCAACATCTGATTTCAATACAGTTGAACTTCATTCTGTGATTGGTTAGTCAGCTATATTCATAGTGCTAGCCAAATTATGTCTTAGTAATATTTCTTAATTAAAACATACCTCGTCTTGCAGTTCAAATAAATAGTGTCTTTTTCAATCCACTACATGTTTCGCCATGTTGGCATTTTCAAGTGGTACACAGAAACATTGAGACTTGAAACCACTTGAAAATGCCAACATGGCGAAACATGTAGTGGATTGAAAAAGACACTATTTATTTGAACTGCAAGACGATGTATGTTTTAATTTAGTTTATACTAAGCAGTTCAGGGGCTACAAAATGGAATTTAATATTTCTTGTATGTTCTGTCTGATATTGATTTCAAAATAAAAGTTTTGGTTTTGGGAACTTTTTTAAATAGAATAGCAGCTAATTCAGTCTTAATGGTAAAGCCTATGTATATTAATAAATTGCTTTTTCAAGTCAAAATCATAGTTAAAATATGTTTTTTTAATGTCCGTTGTCTCAAAAACATCAAATATCAACAGTCTAAGAAAACATGTGCGATAATTGAGTTTCGGTTTTGTTCATAACACTCGATTTCATTTCTTTATTCAGCTGTAAAGACCTTCTCATACTATAAATAAAATGTGTGTAGAATCTTCAAAATTAAATATTTATTCTAAGAAAGTTAATTGTTACAAACCACCTGGTAGGACGGTGGTACCATACTCTTTATAGGTTTTTCATCCTTATGTCCTTATGCATCAGCTTAAAACAATTGTATTTAACTGAATACAATTAATCATCTACTTGTAAAATTGTGCTTTCCTCTTTTATTAGAACTAAAAAATAAGCTGAGTGTTATTTTTTCTTGTTTTCTGCATATTCTCAACTTTTTAATAACAAACTTAATGGTTTTTGCAGTTATGATTCTTATTGTTAAATTTTAGCAGAATTCCCCATAGCTATTTACTGTAGACTATGTATTTAATGGTAAGACTTGAGCCCTTTTGATGTCCCCAGAGGCCAAAAACACTATTCGTTCAAATTGTTATGTGTATGTATGTATGTGTGTCTGTGAACGCAATAACTTGAGTAATTTTTGTTTGATTTTGATGAAATTTGGTTTGAAGGTGTAAGGTGGGATAAACTTGAATGAGTCCGTGAACCAGCATGATCGAACGATGGGAATGGGGTTTTGTGGGATAAATATTAGTTTTTCTCATTTTTGACCATCAAAACACAAAATTCCCCACTCAATTTCAATTTCTCTCTAGACCACTTTAAAGAGTTTAAAAATATAAATAATTTAGTATATTGAAGTGTTTTTGTGAGGTTTTGGTTACGGAGAAAATTCAAAAAGTAAATTTAAAATTCCATTGTTATTCTTAGAAAGAATATTGTAAATGTTGTAGTTTGCTTGTTTATGAATATATTTTATCGAACTTTTGGCAAATTTATTTATTTTATACTAAAATATTATCATTTTTCTAAAAACCTCACTATAATCTGGTAAGATAAACATCTATGTAATAGGACATAGCTGCCTCGTGTGAGGTTTACTGGGACTAAGCACTAACTAAGTATACACTAGCAGGTGTATTAACAAGTCAGCTGATTGTGAATGGGCCAATTATCATGTGAGAAGCCAGGAGACAAGGTCATCATGTTATCACACCTGAACTTACCTGCTGTGTCACTCAGAGGCCGGCAGTGTACTGGTTCATGCAGCCCTGCGTTGTTCTTACTCTTACTGCTATGATGTAGTGTCCTGGGGTTATGTTTATGAAAATGACACCATTCCCTTCCTGGCAAGCTTTTCGGACAAACTACCTACCAGGACGTAAGTTTTGTTTATTTTGAAATTGGTATATTTCATGTTTTAAGTCAAATCCTAGGACAACAAAAAATATAGTTTTATTTATTTTTAATTAAATTAGCAGCTACCCGGCGCGCGTTGCTGCACTAACATCTATTATTTTAATTGGTAATTTGTTCTTTACAATAAATAATTAAAAATGTAAATATACAAAAAAAAATAGATTACTATTTTACTTAATTGCCATAGTGGATAAACTATGTTTTTTGTTTTTCATTAGGTGTATAAACATATAAGTTTTTAGGCGTACCTACCACCACGTGAGCACGCAACACAGCTGTTCGTGTGAAAAGCATGCATTTCCTAAATTTAAACTGTGATAATCAGGGATTGCCCTTGTACCTTAATAGTGAATGCGAAAGCAAGACGCAAAGGAAATTGTAGTCACTTGAATTTAACGGGTAATTCGGATGAAATCATCGGTATTCTTGGGACTATTTCTCCTTTAAACTTACCACTGATGATTGTTGTTTCGATCGAGTTTGGTGTCATTTTTTTAATCGTCAATCTGGTTCCGTTGCAAAGCTTGGATGGATTTAAGTTTTGCATTAGTATTATTGGAGTTCATTCTTTTAATGCCTGTAATGTGGTGGGTTAGTGACAAATTGGGAGGCATTTGAATACCTGAGATAGCACGCACGGTTATTATTCACTTAATAATTTATGTTAGATTGTGTGGGTATAGAACAAAAGTTAAAAATATAAAGAAAGGTATTGCCATCCTTTTAGCGAACTTCCCATATATATGTGTAATTATTCAATGTGGAAATCATCAATCCAACATATAATCATATGTTGTGTATTAAAACAAACGGAAAACCCCTACTTACTTAAAATTGGAAAATTTGATGAAGAAGTTGGGAGCCTACCAGTAGATCGATAATTTACTTCATCGGCAGGCCACTAGAGACCGTCT